CCGCAATTGCCCTACCTACCGTGATTATCTAACCAACCACGTTTGTTCTATCTATCGCGATTTGCCCGGCCAACTTTTCGCCCAATTCGCCCGGCTTACTACGGTTTGCACTGCCAATAACAACTGCTCGGTTGACTACGTTTGACTTCAAAGTAGTCAAGGCATTTGATGATGTCGTTTGTTGCCAAGACATTTAGGTGCACGGTTGGCGCATCGTGTGAGTTGTTTCGGCCACTTTGATCACCACCTATGCCGCCCTGGGGGTTGCTCTTGCCACGCGGCGGACAAGATCTTTCTGCCATCGTGTGAGTCTCCTAGCTCTTGTCTCACCGATGAAGCCAATAAACTTTTGATAGTCCGGTTGTTTTTTTCCACCTTTCTTTCTTTCTCAAAAAATCCACGGTCCATGCACCACCATAAGGAGCAAGACGATGATTCCTGAAAGTGCTCGACGCACGAGCCAAGGCTATTGAACGCTTAATGAGGTCGATCCGCTTCTACACACTCCTGTCAAAATGGAGTTCCGATCGCATGATGGCAAAATTACAAATCCCAGTGACAATCCTTAGTGGATGCGAGTCGAAACCCACAGATTGTAGCACCTTCTCCAACTTTGCATGCAATCGTTACGTTCTCACCATGGCAACATGCTCATTGCGAGTCAAGTCGGCCTGCCTGCCTCAAGTCCGATTTTCTTGCTTCCCGCAAATCCAATATTCTTTCATTGAACCAAGCTCTTTACTATGCAATTGCAAGCCACTCCTCGGAGAAAAATAAAAATAAAAATAAAATGAGATTGAGCTTCAGCACCTCCACTCATTCTTGCAATTGCATCCCCATAACTATACAGAGCGGAGCAATGTATAGCAATGCAAGCACGCCGTGATGACAATTCATTTACGTCTCACGTCACTCATCCCATCACAACATGATAACCAGAGTCGTACTCATAACATTGGAATCCATCGACCGTACATTGCTACAGTGTTTAATGTTGTGACGATCAAAATCTGAAGAGACCTTCGATTCTGTGACTTGTTACTTAAAGCCAAATGTGTTGAAACAAGTTGAGGAGTTGGAGACTGTGATAGCTATGTTTCAAGCGCTTCAAACAAAGTATCACATGAAGGAATTGTCAAATCGGCTTTTCACATCGTTAAGCTAATGAGATTCAAAATAGTTGAAGGTGCAAAGATCTAAGACCACATTCATGCTATCAATGATTTGTGAAAGATCATTATTCTTGAATGTACAATATGATGTATTAAAATGCAAAATAGATGACAAATGATGAAGTTGAGATTGTCATTGATCTAATCTTTTAGTAATAAAGAAACAAAAAGTCGCATCATTTATATTTTATATTGAAATGTGATGAATGTGAATTGTAAATTACACTTTGGTTTGATTCACCACATATATAAGGATCAAAAAATTTAATTACATACAAAAATGTCACGAATGTTTTTAAATTAAAAATTATGATGAAAACTTGTCGTATATCCATTTCTTTATATGATTGTGTATATAGAGATTGGACAGTTGTAGTAAATACCATATATTAGAGTGAATGAAAAACTATTTGATAACATCACTTGATATTGCTGTGATTTTACTAAATGCAATCATGACTTAGATGAAAAAGTTGGAAAAAATGATAGTATAGATATATACAAGCAACAAATCATTGAAAAAATTATTATTGCAAGAGATAGTAAAATCATACATGTAAAATAAGTTCAAAATGTGGAGATGAAAATTTAATATTTGAGACTCAAATTCAATTGTAATCAATTTTTAGAATCAAAAGCAGATTCAACAAATAAAAAATCAAGCCAATCACTTATTTTAAATGAAATTTTCATGTTAAATGAAAATTTACGATTAAGGTTAAACAATGCAGGTTTAAAAAAAATAAATTATGGTGATGAAAATAAAAATGTCTCATTTTCATGTTTTATATTTTATTGCAAGAATTTTCATATGGTTTTATATTATGGATAAATCTCTTACATGAAAATGCATGCTGTTAAAACAAGGTTTTTCTAATTCATGAATTGAGATGAAGAATAAAAACTTGCAAATATTTTAATCTATATTATAATATAAGATATTTTTTATAATGAGGAAGTCTAGAATATTTGATATTTCAAATCTCATCACCTTTATCATGAAAATTTTCTTGAATTAAAAATCTTAGAGCATATCTATGTAAATGGATTTCTTGATTATTAAAAAAAAAAATTAAACAAATATGGAACTTTAGAAATATGATTGATAAATTAACTTTGATTAGATTATTATACAGAGATAAAAAATGATTACATTGCACAGGTATTATTATTATTATTCAATTATGTAATGTAGTTGTAATATTTCATCAGACCTTTTATAAAATGTGATATATGTTTGTGTTGTGTTCACATGCATATTTATATGCATGTTGTACACAAACCAATCATAAAAAACGCAGGACATCAATTCATTCTTTGTTTGATTTTTTCAATGATAATTGTAGCAAAATGATTAAGACTTGTGACATTATATATTCAATATATTTTTTCGTTTATTTTTCAATTAAATTTAAAATGATTATTTAAATCACCTTGAATTTATTAAAGATCGTGCACATAACATTGATGTTTTTTATAAATTTGATTTAAACTAAATACCTTGCTTTTAGAATTTTTTTTATAAACTCTTTTTTTTATTTCTGCTTCAAAATAAGTTGACTTCACAATGTTATTAAAACATAATATGGTACTTGAATATTATTCTTGTAGATGTTTGATGATATGTTTTATCATAACATTTTTTAGCTTAATGCAGAATAAGATATTTATCATGGATTTAAATTTTATTTATGCACCTTAAATCTTACAATTTTTTTTTCATCGTTGAAAAGAAAGATAATAAATATATGTGGAAGACGAAGTACAGACATTTCAACAGACATTTTTCCATTTACCATTATCAAGCAAAATGCAATGCAAAACTAGGGTTCAGAAGGTAGTAAATTTTTTGATTAGTTTGTGTAGGTTGTATAGGTTCCACTCTTCAGTTGTGTTTTAGATTTGAACTAAAATTCTTTTTTGCAGCTTCATCTGTTTGGTGCATACAATACGCGTGATATATTTCTCGAGAGATTCATGCACTCCCATGAAATAGTATTCTTTTTGTAACAAATTCTCTTCCCACGAGAGAGTGGTTGTGCGATCTCTCACCTGAGTTTAATGAGCCTTTTGGTTCCGTTCCACGACTAATTTTGAAAGATTCAACAACATATTTTGGGCTAAACCAAAGGTTCTTTTATCTGCAGAATGCCAAAATCTGTTGTGAAAAGAAGCAACCACTTGATTAGCAATTTGCTGCTCATGTAAGCTGACCTTTATTAATAGCCCACTATTTGTTTCTTAATTGTCTTAGGTTCTTTTTCAAGTTTGTGCTACATTACGAGAGAAGCAAGGAAAGTAATGTCCAAAAGGGCGTTTTATAGTAAATTCAAACGGGCGGGGATGAGGGGATTCGAACAGCCTAATGTACAATTAATAGTCGCCCCTCTCCGGTGAAAGGTCAGGCAGCAGCGGGCCCGACATGTACACTTGCATGTTAAGCCGACACACAAACGGCGGCTTTTAGTGGACGTTTGAAAACCTGGCTTACCTGCTACCGGCCACTAACTGGACTGGACTCGGAAGTTGGAACCACGAACACTGACTGGCCCGCGGCCCGCCCACTTCCGCCGGTGGACCGGTGGACTGTGGCTGCTTTGTCCCAATTTGGAACCCGGAGGGGAGGAGCCCTGAGGAGCCCTGGGGTCTTCGATCCGAAAGTATCTGGCGGTCGTTGAAACTTGAAAGATTCGGAAGGGGAAAAGCAGATTCCGTGCACTTTCGATTAGGCAGATGGTGAGGCTTGGGTGCAGTAGTTGAGTTGATCACATGCTCTACACCTTCAAATAATATACGATTATGAAATGTCTCCGCCACTGCCGCACCTGAAGGTCTGAGGTCTGCCGCTACCCACAGGTCGAACACATCTGATGTCTGGGGGGTGTCAGATGTCGCCACTCGGATCAAAATCTCCGAAAGGGATTTCTCTTGGATGACATCTCTCTCTCTCCTCTCATTGTACCCTCTCTCCTCGCAGTGCTTTTCCTTTCTGCTCGTCAAACCGGTCAAAATTCACCAGAACAAGTAAAAGGGCCCTGGAATCCCTCGCATCTCTCTGGTCATTATTACCGCAACTTGTCCAGCGGCAGAATTCGTGCAGCTTTCAACTATGTCTCGAAGTACATGTATGAGCATGTTCGATGTTTTAAGATCTTCCCGACCTGCTCCGGCCTCAGATCAACGCGCGAACCGAGATAGGGCCGAGGAGGAAAATACGATCCAACTGTGCCTCCAAGTGAAGTCTGTAGTAACGTGTAGTGTGGTTTGGTGGGGTGGGGTTGGGGGTGGGTACCCAGGCTTGCCCCGGGTCCTGGACGGGACACCGAAACAAATGCACGTTGACAGACACGTTGTTCACGGCGCTGGGATACCAATGTTTCCCGCTCGAGAGGATGACATTTTTTCTCCCACTCGTCTTACTCAAGGTAAGGGCGAGGGGCGAGGGTCGAGGGTCGAGGGAGGAGCTTGAATTCGCGTGTTCAGACGATTTCATGCTCGCATGTGCGGCAACTAATTTTCTACACATGTCAGCATCGAATCCCACTTCGACATTCTTCTATTAAGTGCGAGAGCGAGAGCGAGTGCGAGTGCGAATTACGGATTTTCTGGGCGACAAACCCGCGAGCGTAGGCGGGTACATGAGATGGGGACCTGAAGGACACCAAGAGCCAAAATTACAGGAGGAGTGTCTTACACCATGTGAGGTGTGCCGGACTGACATGCAGTATCGCAAGGCAGCGGAAAATCAAAAGAAATCCGGAGGATCGGTGTAGGGTCCGGATGGGACTGAGTGTAGGAACTCTCACCTCCTGCGAATGGAGCCATGGACTACTGGCCAGAGGTCCGGTGGCGCCCTTCGATCCGGCGAGAAAGCTGGGAGAGAATAGTGACCTTGCTGCCCTGGCTTGGGAGCAGCAGTGGGGCAGGGCTGGTGGCCACATTAGGTCGGGCTCCATTAGACAGATAGATGAATGAGCGGCAGTAAGAACCTCCATGTCGGTGCAAAAGTTGAGGTGTCTGTCCGAGCCAAACAAGAATTTGGCACGCCGTCCTAAACTCGCTCATCGATCCAACCCCAGGGCCATGAGAAAATGCGACGAGGGCAGCGAGGTCCTCCAAGACGTTGGGGAATCATCTCATGCGAAACAGGCCAGCCCCCCCCCCCCCCCCCCAACCCTGCCAGAGGACCCACTTCCTTTCCCCCTCGGATACAATATAAATAATGCTCTCCAAGGCCTGGCCAGTGACGGGCCGGTATTCCTGCGAGCCGAGAGAACTACAGTGGTACGTCCCCATGTCCTCATCAGGCAAGCAGACGCCGGCCTGACAGCCCCGCCAGCTCGATGCTCAGTCAGTACTGTAAATGACTCCCCCCAACGGTTAAGTCGAGATCTCCACACCCCTTTCGTAAGCCCCGTCGGGCCTAATCTCGTACGTAGAGTAGCATGTTATTGTGGAGGAGGCTCGGTTCGGTTCTTAGAATACTGTTTTTCCCATAGGCCGGATTGAAATATTTCTGCGCGGCGTACAGGCATGACGTGGGCTCTCCCCCGGCCGGATTCCTGGATGACTCTCCGGCTGCAGAGCATGGAATCTCGTGAGACCTCCTTGCTTCCTTCCTTCACGAGAAATCCGGTATTGGTACAATTGCGCCAAAAGTAGAAACCAAACTGCCCGCTCTACGACGATTTGTTGCTCTCGCGTAGAATGCTGCGGAACCAGGTCTCATTTCGCCGAGAGAGACGACCTTTTGCTAAGAGGGGGCTGCCAATCTGCTGCTGTCTTTTATGGAGGACGCATGAGCGGGTTCTTCTACATTTGCCATTCCGATTCAGAGGGAAGGCTGTCGGCTCGCTCTGAGAGATTACGCGCCGTCGTTTGAATTCGCTGGGGCTTTGTACTTTGCTTTGCTCTGGGCAGAAGGGCGAAGGAAGGGCGAGGGCCCCTGGGGAGGGAGATTTATTTCTTTAGCGACGGGGCCTGACCGCCGGGGAACGTGGGCGTATGGCGGATAACCCCGATGGACACAGTGGATAACTCACATGGCTCTTTTGAGACGCTGGGTTCACTGTTGCCACACCGTTGAGGGGAGTCAGTCTTTTGAGATGCTGCGGGCGATGGCGATGAGGAAGAGGAAGAGGAGGGTGAGGCCAGGCTTCGATCTGGAGCAGGCACTCGAGCTCGCATCCCGAGGCGGTGGTGGTCCTTTCTGAGCTGGATTGTGGCGGTCGATTTTGTGGGATCCCAGCTAGCAGCTGCGAGGCAATGCGGAGGCATGCCAGTGGCAGGTTTGACCCTCGGCCGCACCGTCTCATGCGGCGTTGGGATGTCGAGAGCTGTAGAAGCGCGACGTACCCTCGGCGGTGCGACGCTCTTGACTCTTGACTCTTGACCGATACATATGCTTCATTCATTCAGTTCGAAGATCTTGTCGTTCGCATCCATGGTGCCCGTTTCTCACAAGAGGTCGATAAAGCATTCACAGTCTGGCATTCACCCTTCTCCATGTTCACGACAAGAAGATCGTAACTGTCCGTGTGTTTCGGCCACTCATCGTCTCCCAAAGGAATTTCTTTTCACCTCGTAGCATCCCTGATCTTCATCTTCTTCCATCACTCCGACCCATGACGTTCTGTCAGTGGTATTTTCACTGCCTCGTGCACTCCGTATATTTGACGACTGATGAGAACAACAAACCCAGCAGACCACGAGAGCAGACTTGCTTCACAACAAACAACCTCTCCTTGCAGAATCATGCATATCCTCCGTCCATCGTTGCCGGATCAAGGGAACGATGTAGGGTTCCTTTGGGTCCTCGGCCTCCAGCGGCAGCGGAGCAATCTGCTTATGCGCCTCATTTACAAACTCCTGACTGAGTAACGTTGCCATCTCACAATGCTAGAGTTCGGCAAGTATACAAACATTGGCGACTTCTTGGTAGCAAAATCTGCAGGTTTTTGGGGTGATACATGTGCGCGAGCGTATGTATGAGTCGTAAGCAAAGATGATGTCCCCAAAAAGAAAGGGAAAAGAGAGTCTGTTGCATAAACTTGTGGTTATACTTCGGGGCGCAATTTCGAATAAAAAAAGGAGAGAAAAATAACGGTTCAATGATGACACGCTATAGGACTAGACAATTTGGGTTTGGCGCTCGATTGGTGGTGAACAAAGCGCAGCAGTCAAATCCGACCTCGAAGATGCACTTTTACGAGGGCGAAGACGTGGGATTGGAAGTGGAGAATGACGCTCGAAATTCCCAACTCACGCAAGAGGTTGCCAATCCTGCCCAAAATGGAAACAATCGAACCGGAGAAAGGTAGAAATGGAAAGACCGCAGTAAATTCGCGCTGACAGGCAACAAGATCGCTCTCCCGCAGGGCAAGAGGTGCTCGCCGGTAAAGTCAAAACCGAAATGTACACACGGTGCCTGCCTTCTTCTTGCGCGTCCGATCGCTCTGCTGGTACTACACGTAGCGACGCGCTAGATTCAACCGAGGCACGACCCCACTCGGCAAGCGAGGCATCAGGGCAGAAGCAGTTGGACTCCGGTCACTCCGCTCTGATCCGAAGCGGCCAATTTCCCCAAGCCTTGATCGGGGAAAGTACCTGCCGAACGTTTAGATTACGGTCGTACGGCGTGCGCTACCAGGAAAGGAAGGAGATGGACGAGGAGGGGGAGGAGGAGGAGCGGGAGCAGCAGGGCACGAGATGCAGTAACTTCGCTCTTTACAGCCACTCCTCTAGTGCTCTAGCGACGGAGGGCCTGGCAGTCATATCTTCCCCCTCTGGCTCGCTCTTCTGATGGGGGAGGCGACAAGGCAGCCGTCGCTCCGAGAGGAACGTTGGGGGGTGTGGGGTGGGGGAGGGGGAGCATGGCATGGCATGGGGCCACCGCTAGGAAGCAGAGGCACCACCCACCCCACATTTGCCATAAGCAGACCTAGATCGGGTGGGCCACTCGCCGCTCGGACCCGTCCAAGTCATCAAGTTGTGCAAGTACGCAAAGTACAACAGAGAGACAACGTTCTTGTTTCACTGGCAAAGGGGGGCTCGCGTTCGTCCCTGCGCCTCCCTCCGCTCGCTCGCTACAGGTCCTTGAACGAGGTGCACAGGGATACAAATACGTACCTTGACATTTACGGAGACGGCTACTGCTGACTGTGGCTGCGTACGAGGATCTGATTAATTGAGCTGGCATCTGTTCGGGCATCGCAGTTTTTATTTATTTATTTGCGCAAGTGGAACGGGAAAGCTTTATTCCGTTCAGAATGAAGAGACCGGGAAGGAACAAGACCGCGCCCGTATCCATCGCATCTCAGCGCATCATATCACGATCTCACACTTATCATTTTGGAAATAGAAGTCGTACTATCGTTATTGCCCATGGCCTGGAAGGAAGCCCTCCGCCGCTGCTGATTTGGCCTTCTTCAAATCCGTTCTCCATTTTGACCAGTTTAATCTGCTCTTGCCCGCCATCCTCATTCGTCGAAGGCGGGATTCGTGCGAATTCGACGAATCGTGCATCTTGTTTCAGCATGGCTTATGATGTGGATGGCACGGAATGGAGCTCCATGTATGGCCCTCTCCCCCGTCGCCGGACAAGGCTCGAATTAGAAGAGAATCGTGGCCCCCTCCGATAGGCCATACCATGCACTGTGCGCAGATGCGAACCTATGGGCGCCATTTCTGCATTCTATATATAATCCGATTATTGCAATGCCGCTTGGAGGCGAAGATAAATGTCTGCTTCTGCTAGCGGGAGGATGGGAGGCACCACATCCACATCCACAATAGGAAGCGAGGATAGACACATTCCCTGGCCATGGCCCAAAGGAGAACGCACGAGGCGGAATTTAGGGTATGGGAAAGATGCTATAATTGGCGGGATGGCGCAGGGCAGTAGAGCAGGCTGCAATCCACCGGAGCGAGCACTCATTCAGGTTGCGCATACAGAGCGTGCTGTACGCTGACGGAGCTGAAAGGTAGAAGGCAAGATGGGGGAAGATGGAGCTCAGGGTCAAAACAGGGGATGCTTTTTCTGGAGGGAGCCCGGCAGGCAGGCGCTCCAAAAGGTTGGGCACGGGAAGTTATGATGCAGAAGCTGTTGAGGACAATAAAAGTGTCGCAGGCAGGACAAAAGAGAGGGACTCGGGATCTGGATTACCCTGGAGAAGCGGAATGATGTGACTTCAATGTACATCCAACTAACTCATCATACCGATTAGTGAAGCAGCGCTTGTGTTGTTGCGTCTGTCGATGGTGTATATACGGAATTTAATGGGCAGAATGTTGTGGTGAGCCTGCGTTCGCAGAGCAGAAGCAGAAGCGAGCAACGGGCAGAACCCTCTCGCCCCTCGCCCCTCGCCCTCCCTGCCTCCTCCACCAGCTCTACTTTACCGTTCTGCTGCGCCTGCGGCCCTCCCTGCGTTCGTCTGTCTCCACAAGGGGCCGATATTTAATACACATCGTGCCATTCCGTTGTTCTTCTACACTCTTCTCCTCAAAGACTGTGGAGTGTCAAGTCCTGACTGCCACTCGACTCTCACACTTCTTCTTCCCTCCCTCCTTCTATCACTGCACTGCGCTTCCTTCTCGGTTCTCCTCCCCTCCTCTGGCATCCATCAAGCGGGAATATACGAGCTGCTCTTGTTCGGACAGCGAGGTGAGCTGAGCAGCAGGGTTTTGCCCAAGTAGTGAGCGAGAGCTGGGGCCGGGCCGTGTCGAGTGGAGTGAAATTTCGGGAGACCCTGCTGGCAGATCAGAGCATTGCACAGGAAGAGGAGAAAGAGCAGAGGTTCGCTCGTTCCTTCATATCCTGCTCGGACGCTCCCTTCCGGAGCCAGCGGCCGAGGCGAGGATTTTGACGGCGCAGCAGCAGGACAGCAGCTGAGGGCGGACTTGGTTCCCCACCTACTCAGCTCGCATCACTGCCGGTCTGCGAGACGGGCCCAATGGGTTGGAAAGTGCATGGAATCTCCTTCTACTTGGCATTGCAGGCTCTGTTCATCCTTCACCTCATTCATCCAGCTGGTAAGCACATCTGCGCCAACCCAAATGCGTGTTTTGATGAAGATCCCCAATGTCTGATAAGTGCTTGGTCCCTGAAGCCCAGCCCAGTGCAGATAAAGTCGTCGCGCCAGAGCTGCCTCGCCGTTCTGAGATGTTCCAATTTCTCTTCCGTCTCTGGGAGAGTACAGGGGAGTGATTGTAGAGGTCCGCTGTTTAGGTTGCCTAACGATCTCATCTCCCACAACATGCTCAAAAGAATCTGATGTATGTCCTGTACGGAAGTGAAATTTCCGTCACCGCCTTTGTTCCCATTCTCGCAGCCTCGTCGCTGGCGCGGGCGGACGAAGTTCATTCGCGTCCTGTCCGGCTGGAATGGCTCGTCTGTGAATGGTCTCTCATTGTCCTTTGCTTCATCAGCTCTCTGACCGCTTCGTGCTCACGAAGTTATGTTGCGGAAATTAGATTCGTATGGGGTCTTCTGGACGACGCCCATCTTCCGGTCTGAACCTTAGGCTTAAATCCCACCACACGCAGCGCCGAACGCATCGGTCTTCTCAGCATTTCTCCTTCTTTCGGAGGCGAGGAAGAGGACAGTCCCTCGTCTGGAGACCTCGGAGCTCATGGCCCGCGCCGACGGGAAAAACGAGTATGATGCGCGTCTGTAGATGTGTTAGTGTGTGAAGAACGTTGTCTGATCCGCCGTCGTGTCTTCTGGTCGAAGCAGATGCCACTCTGGGAGTGATTTATGGCACCCAAGGGTCCAATGTCCCGATACCGTCGTCGGTGGTGCAGCTGCTGAAGACGAATGGAGTGCAGCACATCAGAATCTACGACACGAATCAGGATGTGCTGAAAGCGTTTGCAGGGTCGGAGATTCAGGTGATAATTGGCATTCCGAACAGCCAGCTCGCCGAGGTAGGCAGGACTAACGCCACCGCCGCCAAATGGTTGGCGGACAATGTGGTCCCGTACGCCGGGTCCGTGAACATCACCGCCATCGCCGTCGGCAGTGAGGTGCTGACCAGCTTCGGATCGTTCTCCACCAGCCTCGTGCGCACAATGATGTGGATCCACGACGCGCTCATCGCCAATGGGCTGGACTCGCAAATTCGAGTCTCCACGCCGCACAGCACCGACATTCTGGCCACGACGTTTCCTCCGTCGCAGGCCACATTCAACAGAACGCTCGTGCCCGTGCTCATGCCCATGCTGCAATTCCTGTCGCTGACCGGCTCCTACCTGATGCTCAATGTGTACCCCTACTACACATATCAGTCGAATTTCCAGGCCGTGGATCTGCAGTACGCTCTGTTCCAGCCCGCCACTCAGGTGGCCGACACCTACGCCAACCTCATGTACCCCAGCCTCTTCGACGCTCTGGTCGATGCGGGCTACTACGCCATGCAGGCCCTGAACTTCAGCACCGTGGACATCGTGGTCACGGAGACGGGCTGGCCGCACACGGGCGACGCCAATGAGGTCGGTGCGTCGACAGTGAACGCCGCGCAGTACAATGGCAACCTGGCCAAGCGCACGAACAACAAGACCGGCACCCCGTTCAAGCCCCAGACGCCGCTCGTGGTCTACATCTACGAGCTGTTCAACGAGGATCTGCGCACGGGCGCAACCTCGGAGCGCAATTATGGCATCTTCGGCAACGACATGAACCCCATCTACAATGTGGATCTCACGGGTCAAGGCCGCATTCTCGCCGGCAACAGCACGCAGTACCAGACCTGGTGCGTTGCGAAGAAGGAAGTCAGTCAGCAGGGGCTTCAGCAGGCCCTGGACTGGACCTGCGGCCAAGGAGGCGTCAACTGCTCTGTCATTTCCAAGGGCGGAGCCTGCTTTTTGCCTGATACTCTCGATTCCCATGCCTCCTGGGCTTTCAACGCGTACTACCAGAAAAACGGCAATGGCCCCAACACTTGCGACTTCAGAGGCGTTGGTCAGATTGTCAGCTACAACCCAAGTAAGTCTTCCGCGCATAGTCAAGTGAGTGTGTCGTTGCGTGCGAATCTGGAGTCTGTAGGTGGAATCTGAGCGCCGTCGATACGTTCATGGAGTTGGTGGATGATGGTCGAGATGATCTATGTAGTCGAGCCCTTTGTTGAACTCATCGAATATAGGTTTGGGAGCCCCGCCCAGAATCGTGTGTGGCATACCCTTTCGCGTTGCTGACTGACGTCTTCGTGTTTGGCGATTTGGCTGCAGGCTATTCGAGTTGCATATATCAAGCCAGGTACTGTCAGAGCTCATTCTTCGCAACCGGCCATCGTGCATCAGCTCCTAGCAATTCGGTTCTTACGGTCGCTTCGCACTGTCATTTTCGTAGCTGAGTCATGCAATTGTCGATTCATCTTCTGATTTTAGTTAGCTTCTGCATCTTGCAACTACTATTTGGAAATGCATCTGGGGATCCCTGTCGACACGCTTGCTGATCCATTCCCCGTGTCTGTCTTGCAGTAACGTGACCACCACAGTAGGAGGCAGTGTCCCCGGCAGCCCAGCTAGCCCACGAGTAGAGTTTAAAAGTTCAGTGACGTTTGGCTGTCTACTGCTAATATTCTTGGTGAATTTGAGATACTTTTTGTAGACAGAACGGTAACTCAGCTCATCCTAGACTTGTAATTACTGGCCAACCAGTACTTGAACAATCTCGGCAATGTTTACTTGGTTAGCGGTAGATAGGTTAGTTTTTTAGGTCGGAGTTTTTATCACTTGAATTCCCTTCTCAACTTTTGATGTACTGAGTTCGAGAATGAATTTGGTCAATGTGGCGGTTCTCAGCAGGGGCCCAGACATGCAACATCTTGACATTACAGAAGAGACTTATTTAGGCTTTGAGGCAGAAAGATGTCAGAGAGGGGACGTCGTACAGGCTGTGTAAATGTATAGAGCAGCATTTGTATTGAGAGAGAGATAGAGAGAGAGAGAGAGTGTCAGAGGGAGAGAGAGTCAGAGATTGAGAGTGAGAGGTCTTCGACAGATTGTTTGGAGCCATTCAGAGTCAAAATTTTGTCTGCTAATTTTTTGTATGGCTATAAAACTCGTTTTCGATCACATTTCAATCATGTCCCTGAAGGTATTAGCTGTTTGTTGTGTTGTTTATTTTCCCGAACTCAGTCAGAATTTTGAACTGTTGCCGAGTTCGAAAACTTCGTCTTTTGATGGTACATTGTGAATCCAGGCTTTTGTCTCTTCTGCTGAAGCATAAAGGACTGTAAGAAGTTGAAACTCGATGAAGTGTAAGAAGTTTACTTGTAGAGTCGAAAGTATGTAGTATTCATGAATATAGGTTTGATGCTGACTGATTGACTAGATCATCTGTTCCGGATCGAAAGGGAGCCGAAAGTATGAGGAAGTATCCACTGAGAAAACTTTAATGAGATTCTATATAATGAGCTTCAATATTTAGAGAAGGAGGTCCTGAATAGAAATCACATTTGAAACACTTGCAAAGAAGATCGAGTAACTTTTAGATTACAAGTGTAGGATAACACACATTCCTATTGTTCGTTAAACGCACAATAGGAAGCAAATAGCCTTAAAGTCTTCGTTGAAGCTGTAAACTATTACCAAAAAGTACGGCAAAATGTGGGAAAAGCTGTTGTCATACATTTGTTACAGTTAACGAAGTTGTCGCCTCGAATAGAACCTAATTATAGTGTATGAGAGTGAAACAATTTCCACAATAAACACATCTAGACCATGAATAAAAAAAGTCCATTTTCTCGATTTCACGGCAAGAGGAGGACCGAAAGCAATTCTTGATATATTGTGGCACAACCTCACCTAAACTATGGATATAATCACAGCGATTGGGCGCAGAAACGAAAAAAAACTTCGTATTTCATTATATCCAATTCTCATGAATGTAACACAACCCATTAAATGAAGATTCATCTCACACTAATAGATGCCTCCAAGCGACCTTCACCGTGACTCTACTAACATATCTCAAGTTTAAATCTACTTTTTGAAACCCTTCAATTCCTATATGTCAAATTGAATGCCAGCTTCTGATCCAAATTTAGCAGGGCCAATTGATGTGCCTCTTATCGATAATCTGATTGAAAGACACATGTATCGCAATATATCTTGAAATTTGATACAATGCATGAAGGTATAAAATATTTCATAATCAACATCAAAAGACGTTCATATATAGTATATGATAGGCATAATTTAAGAATAATTTTGTTGAATACTAAGAAAACTTATCTAAGAAAAAATAATATGGATATAATATTTTTCACAATAACACTTTTATCATAAATTAGAATTAATGGTTCCAATTTTGAGAAATATTAGGTAGTATACTTTAAGTCCTCAGACATTTAGTAGATGTTTATATAAATGATGAGATAAATATATGAAATTTAATTGAAGACATGGATAATAAATTTCATTGAAAAGGCATTAATTTTTACATATGAAATGTAATTATCAAAAATTATTAATACAGAAATTTTTTTGTAAATAACATGTCAAATTTAGAAGCTTTAACATGTGTATAATCATACAGAAAATTAATGAATTCTGAATTTATTTAAATAAAAAACAATATAATTCTATCAAAAAATTGATAAAGTTTTATGATTGATGTGATCATATGTCTTAGCAGTGTGATTAACATTTAGTAAGAGAATTTAATTTTTCATGAATCAATAACAAGATGTAATGAGCATTTTGAATAAAATTAAACCTTTTGAACAATTTTTTGTAAGACTTTCATCATGAAACCAAAACTTAAATAGATAGCCCTGAACAAGAAATACATGGTTAGTTACCCTGGACTAGTCTAGGTAACACAAGAAACTTCATTGATAATATTCTAGTTTGCATCGATAAGAGAATAGGTCAGTTATATAATATAGTGTGACATACAAACTAACTTAACTAACAGGGATTAAACTAATCTAAGTTAACTAAGACATGTATTAACCACTAACAATTTTTCCATTGATTGAATCTGTAACTTTCTATAATCAATGCAATCACATTTGAAAATATTCAAAGGTAATTCTAACATAGATTACTCCATAAACTATAGCTAATTAGAACAAAGTACATAGTACAATTTTCATTAGATAATTTTGATAATACAAACTTTGATTGAATTTAATGTCAATGTTGAATAGCTCTACCTTCTTGTTGATAATTACATCTCTTATAAAGTGAAACCTAATGTTATTATGCTTCTCTTTGCTATACAACATTCGCATTTCTATAATATGACTTAACTATCACAATGAAGATTGACAAATTTTTTTTTCAGTTTCATGTCAATCATAAATACAGTCCATAAAATGCACTCATTAATTGTTGCTATATATTAATTTCAATTTTTGATTCATTTATGCATTTTTACAAAGTAGAAATTAAACTAAAAAATGCAAACTATAGATTTTTTCTTATTATAATCTTGTTCATAGTTAGCATCATTATAGAACAACAAAATTGTTACAATGTCCAATAATACATTAAAAAACCATAGTATTAAAAAAAAAATGAGGTAATTTAAAACTAATTTTAAATGCAGTTATTTAAATTTTGATTTTACTTTTTCACCATGAGACAAGAAAAAAATATTGGATTAATTGTAGAAATTGGATCAACAACAAGCATCATCAATCATGATGAAATCTCATTTCAAAAATTGATAAAAAATTAATGGCAATAGTTGGAGAAAAAATTAACTAGTACACTAACAATTTCAATCCGCAGCTTGCATTATAAATTACACTGATTAATCATATCATGCATCAAATTGACTTGATTTAGAATCTTGAGTATAACTTGTTATGAGATGAAAAATGATACTCTTTTGTTTAAAATTTTTTCAATACTCAAAATTATAACATTGACATTAGTCATGATTGAATGTCTCACCTTGCATTGAGTTTAAGTCGAGTAGATTACTTAATTGTATTTCATTGTAAAACAAATTACTTATTTGGATACCATCCTAACACAATTTACTAACAATAATCCATCAAATTTCATTTTACTCGATGAGATCCCAACGACGGCCACGTCATCCATGTTAATCTATCAATACGATGATGACAATGAGTATGAGTGAGAAAAAATGAGTATTAATTTCTCATCATCGGTCTATGTCGTGGATTTATGAGTTGAATTTTATTGGGAGCTGACATGAGTCGGAAAGAGTGACAAAAATTGTTCAGATTGTTACGCAACAGAGAGTGTGAGAAATGGTGGCCATCGCTGCTAGAGCTTCAAGCTTGTTGGTCAACGTCGAGGAGCTTCGTGACACTGCATGCAAAAGGAGTACATTGACCAAGGTCAGAGCAAGGAAGCTAAGTACCTTCGGAGTATTGAAGGCCAAGAATAAGATCATGGCCTTGGAACTCACCGCCAGCATTGAGGAGAAGTTTGCCACCTTGATCATCAGCTGCTTGGTTCGATTGAAAACCAACTGTGATTGAAACCACAATTTCAGTCATAAAAGTTGGAAGATAAGAAAAAAGTGGATAACAAGTCAACCTAATCTATTTATTTTTTATAGAACCTGCATAAACCTTTGATTTGTGCATGACAAATCAAAGGTTTTTTTCAATTTTCATAAAGTTATAAAAATTTCATATATTTTAGTCAAAAAATTAAACCATTGATCAATCATCAATAATTGATAAATTGTATAACTTCTCAAGAAGCTAAATATCTTGATTAGGTTTCAAATCATAATCATGTACACATTGTTTTGCAATTGTGAGTTAAACCATTCAAAAAAAATTATTATGCTTGTTCATATTATCATATTTACAAAACTCCAAATCAAGTAACTATCATGATGTGTCATAGATTTGAATGTTATGCATGAATCATTTCAAAAGAAAATCTACCAAAATTAATTTACTTACAATTGGTTTTGACCTCTTAAATGTCTAATATTCTATGCTTGTGTTTTTTGAATCTAATTTTATCAACAAATATCTTGAAACTCTATTTTTTAGATTTTTATTCAAGTTTTTTTTATCTAACATTTCAATTGAAACAAGATTCTTTCTCATATTGAATATGAAGTTAATCAAAATGCAATAACTTTTGATAAACATGTGAAAATAAATATATTAAAAATTTTCCACTTTACAAGTTTAATCATATTTCAAAAAATTAAAAATGTTTGATAATAAAAAATTGAAAAATACTTCAATATAACAAATATGATTAAAAATACTAATTTCTATACAATTAAAAATTCATACATTGTCAAATTTTTTTAATAGTTAACATATAGCGAGTTCAATAATTTGATGAACAACATTGGTCAAAAAATATCAGTAGTTTTGATCTTGAACCAACTTCTGCATTTTTATTGCTCATTTTTGTCATATATCTAACATACTATTGTATCCATCTCCAAAAATTTAATACTATATTGAATATATCTCTAGATTTAAAACTCTTGCAATACTTTGTCAATACAATTATTTTGGATGTAAATTTAGTGTTGCATCGGTGAAAAGAATGAAAAACATTACATCATCAATTTTTTAATGATTTATCAATAAAAAGATTTTACTTCATTACAATTGATTTTTTACCTATCACAATAAAATAATCATGTGACGGAAATTGATAAAATATATGTGACAAGCTTAAAATATAGAAAATTTTGATCCTATCATTAAATTTTTTTAAATTTAAAAATTAATCAGTGAATTATTAAAAAAATCAACATAATATCTATATCTACATATATATATATGCAAGTTGGTTTTCACAAAATTCAAAGACTTTTAATTATTTATATCAGCAGAACATTTTCATTCTAATTATTTTATCTCAACTATCATCATCGTGCATTTTCAAATACCGATGGACAACACAATCTACAATATATAGGCCTGAATAAAACACGTTAGATGATTCGCCAATTTTTTACTCATCTCGTCATGGTTGAAGTTGTGTTAGAATAGAACTCTATTAAATGAGTGTCCAAATTTGAGATCATGTCATGCAAAAATCATAGCTATCAACTCAAATTACCTCGGCTCATGTTTGTTATTTAAAAATCTAGACACATTAAGAAAATTACTTAATCTTCAAATGCAAGAAAATAATCTTAACCTCAATGGCTTGCTTTGGCCAAGATGAAAAGCAATATAGTAGTATAGAGTAATGCATATGAGAGAGTAAGAAAATACATTATATAAAACAACACAAGATACAATTTCAAATGATTGGAAGATTAAGATGACTGCCATGAAGTGTGAAAGAGCAGGTAATGAGATAGTCAAATATAATGAACGTGTTGACTATTTGCTCTAGGAGAAAGGTAAGCTGAAGTCTATGGATATTAATCTAGTACATTTACAACATTTGTACATGAACCAAATGAATGTTTATAAATTTTGTACTCTGATGTATATCTCTTTTGAGTAACATTTTTGTTGCAAATAGTTGTAACATTAGGGTGAAAAGAGAAGCTGAAGCTAAAGTTCAAACAAATTTCATAAATGAAACACATTGTGAAGATGAGAGTCATTTAGATTGGTATTCCTCTCCGTTATATAGATCTTCCCAACAAATATAAGAACATAAAATTTCACCTTCATCATCCATTTGAGTCCTAGTGGATTGATGATATTAACAAGCACAAAGATTGCTAATGTGTTTTCTTCAACTAAAACATGCAATACTTATCTAACAAGCACACGTAATGCTAATATATTGTTGTCAATGAAAATTAATATATGTTAAACTACATCAATGTGTATGATGATATTGGCATTGATCTTCAAGATATTGGACATAAATTCAAATTATTAAAAAAATAGTATTATATCTCTTGTTACTTATAATCAGTATCATGTGTGTTTTTTTATTGTGATTACTGATTTTTGCTCTGATTTTATCTCAGATGATTTTCTTAGCTCATTATGATTGAAGAAGATTAAAATAGATCTACATATGAGCATCTTACATACATTTTTACACAATCTTCTTCATTGATAATTCAATTTAACACATATTGACACTCAAGATGATTTTCAAAAACTAACTTGTATTGATGGAACTAGTTTTTACATCAAGATTTTTCAAAATTTGCTTGAAAATCAATCATAGAGATATTCATTTCACTAATTTATTTTTACATAATTTATTTAGTCTTTTCAAAATAAAATTAGCAATGTCAACCGCCTATTATATTCAAACTGATGATCAAACAGAATGAACTAATATATTTATAGAGTATATGATATGAATATTTATATTTAAAAAACAACAAGAATGTGATTTTTTTAATCTTGTGGAATTTGCATATAAAACTTCTGTTAATGCATCCACAAATGTGTTTTTAAATTACTTCATGTTCACCTCATAAATTTATCAAGTGTAATGAGCTTTCCAAAAAGAGAATAGTTTTTAAACAAAATAGCTGAAGTCAATAATTTTGTGGAACATATTTACAAAAGTCTCATTCAAGCCAAAAAGAATTTGATAGCTCAAAATTAACTATAATAGCATGCATATGCTCATTACAAAGAATTTATTTTTAGATAGAAATATGATTTGTGTTGATAAATACAATACAAGTTTGAACTTTGGCCACATGAAAAGATAATGTTTTATATTTGATGAACTACAATTGCAAAACGTAGGTCACAATCAAAACAATTCATCAATCAACTAACCAACATCACCTACTCTTTAAAACTGATAGTTGATTATGAATAATTTAAGAGAAAAAAGATATTTTAAAATAAAATATCAGATCATATATATCTCAAAATAAAATATTCGAAACAATAAAAAATATATGTATGATATGAATCAACTTGGTAAAATTCTAGTTAATGTATCTTTGTTAGTTCAAAAATTTAAACCTATCTATAGCATGAACATTGTGTTCTAAATGGAGTAAGGTTTGTTAACAACTTCAATTATTTAAGATCAAGATTGATGACATTCAAGTTGAAGATAAATCTGCATGACAATGATTTTTTTCAATTGTCATGTCAGCCATTTGTATGCCTGAAAGGTAGAGATTAAGTGTGTTAATTGAGAACAACATGTTATTATCCCATATGCTTGTTACGTATATGTGTCAAGTTAGTAGAGATATAACGGTTGATGGAGTTAAGACTCTATTACCTTGTAGTTATTAGAAAAATTTAGGTAAGGAAGAAGATAATCATTCTAGATATCTTTCATCTTCATATCTGTGATTTATATTTGAATAAATCAAATTTATAATCCATAGTGCTACAATTAATTATGAATCTATTAAAATTTTATTATAATTGTCTTAATAATATTGATGAAAATTGATTTTAATGAACTTGAATCTTTGTAACTAAATTCTCAATTTTCATCTCTTAAAGTCTTCTATGTTCATATTATTAAATGTAAAAAAAAATTATCTCACATGATTTGATATTTTTTGTGTGTACTTGTATCATATTGAATTTTAATTCTTCTACTTCAATCATGATAGTTATTAACGTTTCAGATATATCAAATGATGTATTTTTGTTTTCAAACAATATATTACAAAATAAGTATAAAAACTGTCCATAACCTCAATATAACAAAAGTTAAAGGTGATCTAAAAGCAACTATATCATATTATCATCACATTAATAACAAAAAATCTTTCCATACTTTTTTGTGAATAAAATTTTTTAATCTATACATATGTGTTAAATTGAATCAAAGTAGAAAATTTTTATTCTCATTTAAACTAACATTCATTGAAATAAAATTTTAATTCTTAAAAAAACAAATTTTAAAATAAATTTATACTTTCCACTTCTTAATTAATTCGTACTCAAAACACACAAAAAAAATATTTGCTTTTCAATATTTTGTGATATTGTGATGTATTGAAGTGTACATTGGTTTGATAACTCTTATTGAATTTACAAAGTATTATTCATCACATAGTTTTTTAGTGGATTTCCTTATTCATCTTCTAAACCGTGAATTCTACCATAAAGATTTACAATTTTCACACAATACTGGAATCTTCGGATAATGCTTATAGAAGTGTGATGTTAGGAAAAGCGGAAATGCATACAATATAAGAATGCTCGTTCAACACGTTTACTTGAGATGTATTGCGACGAGGAAATGTGTCGATAATCTACACGCATGATCGCCTCGTGAGAAGAGAACGACAACAGCGACGGTCTGCGTTGCCGTTGCCGTTGCCGCCGCTCGATGGAAGATGGACGGGAACAAATCCATTCATGTTTCAACCTTATCCGCAGACATGTAGAAGGGGGAGGAGAGTCCAGACCAGGCGTAAATACCACCCGGTTCACAGCAAGTAATCCCCGGGGCCGGATACCGGCTGGTGGTGAGAGCTGGGACCCACGCCTTGCCCATTGGAATGAGTCGGGCGTCGTTCGATGGCCGCGCTGACGAGGCAAAGTCAAGGCCGAGAGTATAAAAGAGCCGAGCATGATCGAATTTGCGGTCGCGACGTCGTGGCGCTTCGAAACTGTCGAACGATTGATTGATCGATTGATTGATCGCTGGAACGCACGAGGACGCGATGCAGAACGGCGAGAAGCCGGGTCGGAGCGATGTGGATCATCTGACGCCCGAGGAATTGGCCATTCACGAGCAGAAATTGAAGGAGTTCCTGGACTCGTCCACGCCCGTGCGGACTCTGAAGCCCAGTCGCAGCGAGGCTTCGGAGCTGCTGGACGCCAGTGATGCGCTCCCTGCCGAGGTCTCGAAGGCCGAGCTGGAGCGATTCCAGTCTCTTGAAGCGGAGGATGATGTGAGTGTTTCCCTTGCCTCACCCGCTCCTTTCATGTTTGCTTCTCTGGCCTTCCAGAGTTGCTAGGGAGTGTCGAATTTGCTTGACTGTGCGACGTGGACCTCGGTTCGTGCTGAACACCTGTTGTCGGTCGTCCCGCAGAGACTGCATACGGAAGGCGGTGTCGTGAATGATGACAGCTATGTGCAAACTGAGTACTACGACGATCTCAACGCCGTGGATAAGAGTTCCCATCATACAGTATTGGAGTGATACCTTCAGCCTCTGCTTCTGTTTTGCAGTTTGTGCTGTGCGTTTGGAATATTTTGTGTGATGATGAGCTTCGTGATGACACACTTCATATCGCTCGCAGACTGGAACTGGGTTCATAAAATCAGATGCTGAGATCCCAGTCTGGCATCTGAAAGAAGATGAAGCTGACCCTGCATTCAAGACCTGCAATGGAACCAACCCCGCAACCAACGAATGGGAACCGTCACCTCCAGTGGTGAGCCTAGCTATCTTCTGTCACTTCAGTCCATAGATTCGGAATCCAAACTTACTTTCTCGCACTGAACTGCAGGAATTGTTTCTCTTTGCTGCTTGATCAAGCATACCTCAGGCTGGTTTCTGCACGTTTTACGCATAATCTCCAAGAATTGTTCAGCATTCCATACTATTTCTCATCCCATCGTCAAATAACTGTGATCATGAAGGAACGTGTCATGCATATACATTCAACTCTATCTCAAATTTTGGACTTCATCTTCCATTCTTGATGTTTCCAACATGATGACCTCTGCGGAGTGTTTTTGGAGAAAGTTTGTGGAACAAACAAGGAAGATGTGTATGCATCGTTACAACCAAATTTGGAGTGTTGTTTCAATCAGTTCTCATGTTTTTCCAAAAAGTTCAGCGGACACCTTCATTCAAAGATGAATGCTGCCACATTACCTTTATTTCCCACGTCTGTTTCTACCTTAAAAATTCTTCTTTGTGATTTTCTCACTTATGATGTCGAGGTTCAGATATACGAGTCACCCAAGAACACGCTTGTCATTGTCATTCATAGTGAACCCCCTGATTATTAGATTGCAGTGTTTATGAGAGTTTGCGTCTCAAGAGGCTTAAACATAATGGTGCAGACGAATGCGAATGAGCTCTTTTTTCCTAACTTGGCTTCTCAAACTTCTTATGTACGATTTGATGTATTTTCCTTCAGTAAATGTAGTTGCATGTCTAGTTTGCTCGATTTCAGATTTCACATTGCTATTTCGTGAACGGTTGACTCAGTTGCATAGTTGTCTTTCGGTAGTAGGCATTTACCTATCCTAAATTAAGATTCATGTAGTTTGTAGGATGTCTATTTTCCTTGTTTAGCGTTTTTTCTCCCCGAATTTCCTCGATTGCTTTGTAGAGGCGTTGATCTGCTTCAAACTAGTAAATTATAGAGTATGGACTATCTTATCATTCGATAGCACAACCGGTTTATAAGTCTATTCCACATTGTGATGGTTTCCTGGAAATTACAAAGCCTTCAGTTTTCTGCAATTGAAGTCTTCATATAATATACTGTAATTAGGTCACGGATTTGATACACCGTGGGTTTTCTCATCAAGCCGTCACTGGATTCTTCATGCTTTGTGGTTTTGTATGGGTCTTTCGACTTCAATGGTCACACCACAAATCACAGATTTAAAGGTCACTGATATTCGCTGTTTTGTGATATTTCAGGACATCTCAATCGATTCCAAAGTACACAGGAGTGATCCTTGAGATGGAGCGCATTTGCTTCATCTCCTCGTTCCCCACCTAGTACGAACAGATATATATGAGAGCTTGTAGGAATGGAAAGTGCGGATTTGATCTTTAACAGTTGAAGGCGGAGAGATTGTTTTGAACTCTTCTAATGTGGGCTGGAACCTATTTACTTGTGAGATCAAAAAAGTCAAAACGGTTGCAGGCTTCACTGTTATTCGCATCTTTGGATAAAGATGTCCGGATATCTGAAGATCTTCAATACAGCTAGAGCTATTTTTCTTCGGTCAAACATATTGGAACCTCATCCTCATACAGGTTGGAACATTTGTCGATAGCATGACATCGTACAGTCCTCCACTGTTGTTATGTTTGTTTCCATTTCCATTCATTTGTATCTTATTTTAACAAAGGAAGTGAAGAGCTTTTGCAGCAGCGTTTGTGTACACGACTTTTACTGAATTGAATCTCGACCCAGATGTACTGAATTCAGTACACCTGGGTCGAGATTATATTTGCGTTAACATTGAGGATCGTAAAGGCCGTTTCAAAATCATGCATCATTACAAGCCTTCCAAGTGATCAAAATTCATAAATTTTCATTACTTCACATTTTTAGCAACTCATAATGTGCTATGCTATGGAGATTTTGGTTCACTATTGCGCAAATCAGTCACACGAATGGCAAAATGGTATGTATGATGGGCGAAACAGCATACCAAGATTTCCGAAGAATTTAATTAAGGAAGCTTAAATGTAGAAAGTAAAGTTTCCCCGTGAGTTTTCTTTATTTGGAACCCATCATTGGCGCCACTCTTCATCGGATTTGACTCTGGACTTTGCATCATCACGAGAAATATAAAATGCTCTAGGTTTTTGGCGAATTCAAGATGAATTCAACTCATCATAAATTCACATTCACTGAAAGGCGCCGAGTTGAAAGATCAAATGTGGAACTTTGCTATGTCAATCCTGCCCCGCGTTTTGAGGAAAAAACTATCGGAATATCTGACGTCCAATATGCGGGAAATGTTTTCTACATAAACCCTTGATCTATATTACAATTTACAATTTGAATAAACTGAATCTATATTACCACTTACAGCTTGAATAAACTGATACTATATTATCATTTACAATGTGAATAAACTGAATCTAGATAACCATTTACAACTTGAAAAAATTGAATCTACATTACCATTTACAATTTGAATAAACTGAAGGCTCGATGTCTCTGCTTGGACAGGGAAGAAATTAGGTTAGGCAGTAGAATACGTGAGTATCGACCTCGCTGGGCTATGAAAAATCCCGGATCTAAAAAAAGGTTCTGGGCAAGGCCTTTTCTTTGCGAACCTGAGATATGCGAGTACATGCTGGCGCTTTACAAGGAAAGAGCAGTTCCCGAAGGACTGCAACATATCCACATAACTGTGTCAGATGATGCTCTACGGCTTGAAGAGCCTGGAAAGAATGGCAGTATGCTGTAACTCGTCTAGGCCCGGACCCATTTGTAGCATCCTTGTAGCAGAACAACCTTCGCACATGCTCATTGGACGTTCCTACTTCTCTCACGTTTGAGATTTCTCCAACACTGTGAGCAGCCGCTTACGACTGCATTGACAAACTCCTCTGCCTGAGTTCTGCTCTTGAAAGCGCATGTGATCTTGGCAAACTCGCTAAGCTGGTGCCTCATGAAAGGCTCTTGTATATTCATCATCGGTTCTGAAAGCAGAGGCGTTGTGAAGAGCCCCGACCGCATGCTAGATTCTGCATGCAACAGAGCATACAAAACGCCCGAACAAGCACTTAGCCTCCATAACCATCAGCTAGCCGGGAGTTTGCCGATTCTACCATCCCTCGGATGTGCCTACCACGTATCCAGGTCGAGAAGTATGTGAAAAGTAAGACAGCATGAAATATGGAATCATCGGGTGAGATAACAGAAAAAGATGAGGGACAAGAGTGAACCTCAGATTGTCATGCCCTAGGAAGATTCGTTATATCGTCTTCGTCCGTTGGTATTACGAGATTGAGAACCACTGCTACGAGTCCGCCGGAAGAAAACCCATTTGACAGCACTTGGATTACGGCATCACGAAATCCTGGAGCAGATCATGCAACAAAACCAATATATAGGGATGCTGATAAATGCATTAATGCGGATATAACCGAAAGCAGAGTCTTTGATACATTCAGCGAGAGCAAGATCTGAACGCAGAAATGGCAACCTCTATATTCCTTGCTCCAACTTTTGTCGACTGGCCATAAGTTGCCTTCATTGGGGTAGTTCGATTGTCCAGAAATATTCACCCATGCGGGAACAAGATTCACCCCAAGACCTACACCGAGCGCCATTGTTACAATAAATCTGTCTCTTCTTGAAAGACCCTTTGGCGGGCTCAACAATTTTATCCCAGAAACCATGACACCTGAAAAGAGAAACGTTGTCATTGCTCCCAGAATGCAGTTCGGAATACTAAGTATCAGGGCAGCAAACTTGGCACAAGTTCCGAATAATATCATCCAGAAACAGCACCCATAACCGGCCCTCCGTGAAGCACATCCGGAAAGGGAGATGACCCCGTTGTTCTGCGCGTATGTAACCACTGGAAGCGTGGTGGCCAATGAAGCCCAAACCGAGTTGATTCCATCAGCTAGCACACCTCCTTGCAGGGACTTCTCATATTCAGTCCCTGGAAAAGGGAAACGAATGTAGGTCAATGGTGCGATACACAAAAACTTGAAACGTATTTGGTTCTTTGATGAGCTCCCCGATAGCATCGGAGAGCAGAAGAAATCACCAACCGAGCTACACAAAACCTTAAAGCTAATCCTTAAAAACATTGGCAGAATTCCTGTATATATGTATTTACGACTAGATTTAGATCGCATTAAATTCTGTAGATGGCTCAGTACCAGAAGGGTGAAGATGGCTGGCCTCATATGTTGCAGAGACATCTCCTATGGTCTCCACCATTGAGGTAATGCCTGCTAATAGCATGGGCAGCAAAGCTGGTGGATATATACCCAAAGGAAATGTATATCTCCACAAAAAGGTGATCCAGGGAGCTTCAGGGATCTTATCAAATGTCACGAACCTATACAAGTACGCCATCAGCCAAATTATGTTATGAAGACTGAATTTTTTCTGATTGATCAACTCTGAACACTTCACCATCAAGGTAATCATGTGAAAACCAGGTTGTTTGAAATATCTATTGACTTGGTTGTACTCTCACGTTTTTAACATGTTCAAAAATGACTAGACAGTGATGAGACAGTGACCACAAGACAGTGATTATCAAATTAATAACAAGATGAGTGGCGAAAAGCCTCGTAAGCCGATCAGACCATGTCTCATCTAAAGCCTCATGGTCTTACCAAATTATGAGGCTAGCCGATACCAGAAGTGGTAAAAGAAGAAATTTAAGGGATAAGTGCTAGTCACCGTACAGGTAGTACGTACCGGTACTTGCTGCACTTGGTCCCCTCACACTTAGTTACATGTACAGATGAAGCAACAGCCATTCCCACGACAAGGCCAACGATTACCTGTACGATACACCACTTCAATCAGCCTTCGAAGCATTTACGGCGTGCTAGATGAACGTAAGCTTGTTCCCATATGCAAGCTTCATATTGACATGTTTGGGAAGATTGGATTCGATAGCGCAGATGCTTTTACCTGCGTATTTCGTAAAATTGGAGAACCAAAAATCTCAACTATGATAAGAGTTGCAACTACGACGAGACCCAGCTCGATGTAGTGCCTGTCCCCGAAAGGAAGCTCAACTTCGCCATTACCATCACAAGGAGTCTTGGATGTCAAAACCTGAATGCTGAACGAATATAAGACTTAAATGGATACTGACAATCCTTTGAGTTAGAAACTATAGTCTATTGCAAAAGGTACTATTCTAAAGGTCCGAGCTGCCAGTCGGGAGAATCATTCAGGTTTACCTCTCAAGATTTAGTAATTTCTATCTTAAGGATTATCAATTGAAAGAGATTGCAAGAGACAGAAAGAGCAGACCTGGTTTGCACAAGTGGTACCTCCTCCCCATTGACTGAACCCCGATGTAATCAGAGAAGCACCAATAAGGATGATCGTCGAACCAGTGACAACAGGAGGAAAGACCTTCTTCAAAAACTTCTTTGGGCAGAATGATAGGGCAATCTGAAACCAGCTAGTTACAAGAATCTGCAATGTAAAGAATTGAGCAGGTCTTAGGATATATTTGGATTATTAAGCAAACCACCTGTGCACCAAATATCAGCAAGATACTAGTCTTACAAAAGTCTGCTGTCACACACATAATGCACACAGATTATGGGACATCGATCATAGTCCAGAATATTTGGAAAAAGTGTACTCAGTGAAAAACGCGCAGCAGCAAACCAGAATTCCGTTTGACTATAAAATCCACGTTTGAAAGTACAAGCTTGACAGTGACTGGACTCATTGAACTAGAAACGGCTTAGTTAACTTAGAATCAGATTGAAACACTCGAAGATGAACTGAAGATAGAACCGTACACTGCCAAGTACACGTCCGTAAGCTTCTTGTCCTGTCAGACAGTCACCTGATAGGTTTCCAGTGCATAAATCACAAGAGTCTCCTTTGAAGCAAGAAACACCATCACAGCTGCACGTTCGTAAAGTTGCTATAGTCTGAAGAGCTGTAATCAGGAAATTCCAGAACTTCAGTGCCTGAACGAGTGTAAAGAGTGACGCTGGGCTTCTGGAACTGCGCAAAATGTACAATATCCTCGTTATCCTAATTAGTGGGCAAATCAAGAATGTATGCGATGTCCGTCCGGTGACATTGATTTAACTCCAGCAGCTTACCCACAGGCAAATATGCGAACGTCACTCCCATAACCGACAGCATCCCTGATCCTGCGACGAGAGGACTGAAATTGTCATTATGAAGACATTTTTAACACTTGAACTTGAACAACAGAGGAAGTTAAAACATGTGATGTCCTTGTATTGAAATCTAAACGTACCGATCACATAATTAGTGTATGGTATTCTGAATTGAGTCATTTGGATAAACGACGCCAATCCTGATACGATCATCGCGGCTGAAACCACATCTGTAACGGCCCAGGTCCACAACTCTGTTGTGAATGCGTCTCTGATATCGTCGAGTCTCACTAGGAAAATATCATCATTCTAACTGAAACATCAATTTTTTACAGTCACGTCCGGCTCAAAAGTCCATTTTTTCTAATCTAGTTGTTCATTCTGTGTTTGACGTCTTTCTCCCTCGTGTCTTACATCAAAAGTAGCAGAAAAAGAAATGTCATGCCAGCAGCTGAAAAGCAGCTTCTTGTTTATAACCAGTTACTGGGTAACAGGATCATCATCAAAGCACTTACACTGCTGTTCCCCAGGAGTGAAGTTACCATTGTGTAACGATGACAAGATTACGGGTGTTGTTACGACCCCTGCAACCTGTTAACACCATTTCTCATTTGTGTCAGACACATGATGGTCCAACTCTGTATGAGACCTATGTCAGACCATATTGGCTGTTCTCCAAACTTTTAAATTGAAATATTCTTAAGGAAGAATGACAAGATAGGAACTTCGTTCTAAAACTTAGAACAGGTTTACAGTTGATGATCGAGACTCAATCAGCAGATCCAGGCATGAAAAGGATGGCATCAACGGAACAATCTACTACCCGTATCGGGGATGAAGTACACACATATCATACACTAACCAGCTCACAGGCTATCAACTCCCTTGTGCGCGTGATGCTAATGGTGTCCTAATATATCAGTAATATGTTGAGAGCGATATCTGACGGGATCCTTTAAACTCCAGGTTCATGGCACGTGAAAGTAACTACCATAAGTCCATGCCTGCATTAGTTCGTCAAAATCGAATCCTTGTTGAGAACTAACCAATGTTCACAACCATACTTGGCAGTAAGATCAAATTGTAAGCGAGCACATTGCCGACATGTATATTGCTGCAAACTTGCTGGACAGGACTTGCTACGAAATTGAATCTACCAACTAGTAGAATAAAGTTGCGACTCAGTGTTCTCACCATCAGCAAAAGCAAGGAGAGAAACCAAAGGAAAGACCTCGGGCAATTGTGTCATAAAACCTCGAATACACAGAAGGATAAAAATAGAACTTTTTTCCGACACAGGAGGCAATAAATCATTAGCGGGAAGGCAACCGGCAGAATGTGCACAAGAGATTTACCATGGCGAGGGCATGTTGGAGTCCCATGACAAGAGCCAGAAGAAGAGAGATCTTCTCATCTTTCTCGAAAAATGGGGGCGGACTCCTCCGCGCGCCCCACGGAAGACTCGGAGTGCAAAGAAATCCCCAATCATAATCACCAATCAGGACCTTCCTCCATTTTCTCTCTCTGTACCTGTCCCTCGCAATGTCGTAGATAGTGTCACCGTCTGTGACGCTCAGAAGATGCGTTTGCGCATCATCTGCCCGCCATGTTTCCATATCTCCTTCTCCCGAGAGAATTGGCTTTTTGGTGATTCGAAGTGTTTTTGGCTGCCCAGTGAGATCTTGTCCAGATTTCATGCGAACATCAAAGAACCGCTGACAGAACAGACATTCCAGACGCACGCTGACTGCAGTTTGCTACTGTGAGCTCGCATCCGACATTGGTGACAAACGTCCAGACGTGGATCCGACCTCCCTCATTCTTCTACTACCCGTGGTTTCCAGTGAGGGCACCGGCCTGGTCGGACGAGAATCCCCGTGGTTTCCAGTGAGGGCACCGCCTGGTCGGACGAGAATCCCCGACGCGAGCCAAGCGAGCAAACTGATCCGCCGGCCTGCAGCCCTGCTCGAGTGACTCTTGCCACTTGTGCTTTATAGTTAGACCTTGGCTCCCCTTGCTCCACGACCGGAGGAATCGACACGAATTCTGACAATGATGCAGCTCTATTCCATCTGATTCAGGAGAAATCGTCGCAAGCGTGTCTACAAAAAATTATTGTTTTTTACTGAGAACTTTAGGATTACAGTGATTATATCTTTCGTCGTTCTATTTCGCGGAGAGGGAAAACATATGTTTCCCCTCTCCGCGCTGGTTACAGTCAGTTATATTTCTCGCGTATATTCCCGTCGACGCATCTCGGCAATTCGGTCGGAAGAGGTGCATACTGACTCCGCAGGGGATCCAAGAGGCTTTTAGAGCGGAAGGGGAGCCAAGTTTGAATGAAAAAGTTTATGAAGTACGTTTCTCGTTCTGGTTATGTTTATCCACAGATATCTCACTCCTCTCAAAGTATTGCACTGATTGCACCACGATCGAGGACGCAAGCGATGAAAGCTGTGGGCACAGTTTCTTACATCATTCTGAACCGCGATGGAAAACTTTCAGTGGAAAACCAGGTACTGATGTCGTCTTACAAAAGACGGACATCCCTACCCTTCCAGATGTCAACATCAATCAAACGAGTTTAACCCCCTCACAATGTACTATATGTCCGAATGCGACTCTAAATATGATTTGTACCATGAGTACGAATACTAACCGGCCATCAGGGCTCTAGACGATTCTTAAATTCCTCTTAACGAGGGAAGCCCGTGCACACCAAGGGTACGGAGTATGTGCTCGTTAGCTAAGAATATGATATTGCCGAATTCGCTTGTTCGTAACAAAATCCTTGAAACATTATGGTTTTAGAAATTTGCAATCTTCCAATTGTGTACTTTACAAAACATAATTGACGAAGCTGAAGTTTTGAATCGAAATAAAGCTCCGACTCAAACTAAAACTTGTGCTTCCCCATCCACTCCGATTGAGTTTTCCCGGCAATCACTTCAATAACACTATGAGTTTGAATAAGCAGCAATGTAGTGTTCTTCACTTCTGACTGCCGCACGGAGACTGATGTTCAAACCATAGGATGCGCTCGATTATCATACACAAGCATATTGAGTTTCCACCAGGCTTGATGCCTGATGAAAGATAGCTTGATGCTTGATGATGATGATAGCTTGATGAAGAGGCTTGACGGTAAGATAGCCCGACAATTATAAATCAAACCACTCCTGCTTTGAAACCCTGAGAAGACCAAACTAACGTACTGGGAAGACATCTTTAATCCATTTATGAACAACGGGAATACTCAAAACGCATTGCCAAGATTTATGTACTCAAAAACGAGAGTATAAAGTATGCAGTGTGAAACGCTCGGCAGACTTACAAAATTCCAATGTACAGACACTATTTATGCGTTAAAACGAGATGGATACATGATCTACCAGTCTACCTACTCCTGCAAGACTATGTTCCTTTCAACTCTCAAGCTACAGAGGTGCACTTTTCAAGTGGTCTTAAAGCACCTTGAGTACAAAAAAGCTAAGATCCTATCGATGACCTGCTCTGTCAAAATCTTAGACGTGCTCACAAGCAATTTGCCAAGTTTCTTCACTGTGCATTCTATGGAGCTTGCATATAGTAAAAGATAGCACCCCAAGCTAAAGATTTCATTTGACCTTAACTGGGGAACAACAGTTGCAGACATTCACAATTACATGAGAGGAGCTGTGGTGCCCGCTGTCATTAAGATATGATGAAGATGGGTAAGCGATTCGGCACACATCATCTTCTCACTGGTGCTGCTCCTCTCCCAGTAGGGGCAGGGGCTGTACCCCGAGCAGCTGACCGAGCCTATGAAAGATAAGGCACAACACCCATGGGGTTAGAGGGCACTATTCGGTATATCAACTAACCTGATGAAGCAGACAGCTATTGTTTTGCCGATAACATTGTTAGTGTTGGCCATATTTAAGTATGTTCAAAGCTTATGACAGCAAAATATCTAAAGTTGCTAGACTGAAGGAAAACAACTAGAAAATGGATGAAAAAAGAGACCACACTCAAGAAAAAAGCACTTATCCCACACGGTGATGGAGCCGAGACTACAGGAACAACTAAGCTCTAAACTCAGTTTACTACTTAGCCTCAAGAAACCAACATAACTTAAGGACTTCATCAAAAGCCCACACAACATATACACTATAACCGTAGACTCTAACCGATCCGGTAAAACCTACGGTGGCCAATGGTTTCGTCGCTCAAAAAAACAAAAAACAAGATAACTAGCTCATATCATTCGCACCTTAGCACGCATTGCAACTGCTCGCCCACGGCCAACACCAAGTCCAGTTGAACCTTTGCCCTGTTAAAATCATCCCACGAGAAATTTCGTCACGAGAATTACCCAGCACGTAACATCTTTACACTGCCAAGACAATTCACCCAAGTGAAAGTACTGAAAATAAACTTCGTTGCAGCATATTTCCGGATATGTAACGAGATATTGTGAAAAAATGGATTGTCAGTCGGCAGTAAACGGACTGAAAGCGCAGAAAATCCCAAGGACAATACACAAAGAGAGAGAAAGTCAATACCTTGATTTTGGCATCCAACCGCTTGAACATAGGAGCATTTTTCAGCATGTCAGGGATGATCATGAACCTGGTCACCATTCCAGAGGTGAGACATCAGATGCCGACAGATACAAACGGCGATGTAATGAAATGTAAGAAGCACAAGGTACGTGCATGGCATGTTCAGTATTTGAGAAGAAGGCCGTCCGGGAATGATGGTCTGGCTATAAACCAAAAGCTTGCGTAGCAAGTATTAACTCATCGAACTCATTGTTCAGACTTGTGCCATATTTTCACTTAAGGTCTCTGTAGGAAGTACAACCAAAAACTTTCTCCACAAAGGACGCGAACACTCGACGTTCACTTCTAAGCTAGTCACCCAACTTGCATGATACATAAACTGAATGGACTAAACCCGACTGAAGAGACTGCAAAAGTCGGATCCACAACACGCTGATATCGCTCATTTCAACACAGCAGGAAAACGAGCAGGATTCCACTTAAGTGCGTTGGATGATGTTACGTGATTTTTTCACTAGTTTTATAACAATCATTTCGATATAGACATTCACATGAAATATCTGAAAGATCGACACACTATTTCAGAAACGGCAATACAACGCCGAAGCATGAAAGAAAATCAATAAGCTTGAGTGTGAGTAGGTTTACAGGTGATTCTTATTATGATGAAGGTAAAGAAGGCCTCTACGCTCGCCGTGTAAAGTACTTCCTATGCATGAACGCGGAGACACATCGAATTCCCACAGGGGCCCAAAACCCTTAACTTTCCTTTGTTAACTAAAGTAAAGAGCAACGAGACTCAACAAATCGGCAAAATTCTCTGTAGAAAATCTGAAATTGTCCTGGAACGTAGAAAAACAAAGCCTAACCATATTTGGAGTTTTAAAAACTGTAAGGTGAGAACGGAGGGATCGATAAAATGCAGAACTCAGGTTTAATACCGACACTAATACACATTGGTAGATGTGACAGAGTACTGGAGCTGTCGAATTGAAGTGAAACAATTCAAGAATCTTTCAAGGAGTTTAAAATACGGACATCGCACCTGACTTTGCTCCCTCGGATAAACACGTGCTCAAGCTGCGAAACTTTTCCATCCTGAGAAAATGCAGGTTTTCAGACAAAATCAGGGAAAATTATGGACGTAGTTTTCAGTTATGAAAAAATGCTGCAGAGTGAACGAAAAATACAGTTAAGCTGAATGCCAAGAAGAGGATACTCGCCCTGAAAATCGATCACTTGCAAGCTACAACCTCGACTCTCAAGTTTCGTCCACACAGAAAATCACAAGAACCGGTTTGAGCCCTGGTCTCATTATCTATGCCTCGTTCCTACCCGGTTGCAAGAGAAGTAAGTAAACTGCCGGTAATGAAACAAAAAAATTACAAACTGGCATGAACATATAAACACCTTCCCGATAAAAGTACTCAGTGTGGCAGAAATAACACGCGTTTTCTCATACCTTGGCGGTGTAGGTGATATTGTCGAGTTGGCAATTCCAGTTGTCTTCGCATTCAATGAGAGACCCCCGGTAGTGCTCACCGCTCTTGAGCTCCACAGTGACAATGTGACCCTCGGCCTCGTGCAACAGTTTCACCGGAATCCCCAAACTCTTGCTCATTATGACGAGCTCTCAAGGCAAAAATCTGTCGAACAAAACCCCGTGCTCTCGCACTGGAGCTGTGAACTCGCCTCGACCCCGATACGTACGCCACGGAGCAAACAACACCAACTCGATCTGTCGACGTTTCCTCGTGACACTGTCGTTCGGGCTTCGTCTTCCTGCTATCGATCGTGTCGAGACTAGCGACAGTGCAAGAACTTCAGAACGAACGAAGCAAACCCTAAAGCCCTTCAATTCTCATACGATCGTCACAAGCGTCTCGTTCCTCGCTTAACACTTGGGCATCGCCTGCTCCCACGACGTCGCGATCTTTCCAGTGTGCTCGCGAGTCTCCCACAGCCCGCCCATTGCCTGCTCCGCGCCCGTCGCGCTCTCTGTCCCGACGCCTCGATCAAAAGTTTCCAGTTCCCGCCACTGCGTTTCCTACTCGTCGCCCCGACATCGTCACTCTGTTTGTTTTCGTTCCCGCCCGTTCCACACATCTTCTAATTAATGTTCGTGCTAGTCAAACGTAGCCAAACAGCTGGATAATTTTACACATCGAATTATCGAACATTCTGTTCTTCCTGATAGATTATTGGAACTTATGAGCAAAAGCGTCACACTGGAATTGAATATTCACATACATTTTTATTTGCCTCAATCATTTGCAATTCGATGTCATGTAGTTTATAGAATCAAACGTCATGAAACACAATACAAGACGTATTATCCACACAGGATCTAGAAATCTAAATCTACTTAACATCGCTCATAACAAGAGTTCCAGTGTATGAAAACCTTATACAAAGTTAGTTCATATTCAATTATGATTGCAACTTTTATTCTTATCAATTTTGTTCTAATGATGTATAATCGAACAAGTACTTAAATATATAAAAAAAACAAGTAAACAACTATTTCAGCCAAATAAGTAACAAAAGATTGATGTAAAATGTTTTTCAATGATATGATATTCAAATTATATAGGTCAATCTTCTATAAACAATAACAGCACATAATACATTAACTAAGATGAGGTTGGGCTTCTATGTATAATATAATTAAAAAATGTAAACTATAAGTCTTGATATACCAATAGATCATATAAAATAATCAATGCATGAAGAAAACAAAAATAGGACATTTTTCATATATGTACCTTAAGGTAATGCTTTCAAAATGTATATCAAAATTTGTATGTAGTAATTTTGCATGATGTGCATGAAATGTATTTCAAAGCTCAAAGTGTCGACACTTACATCAGAAGTAGATAGTCACCTGCCAAGAACGCAAAGATTCTTGTCAAGAGATTCGTTGAGTTAGGCTTTGAGGCAAGCGTATTAGTTTTTACGACGTCTTATGGTATCCGTGCTTCAGTACAGGTAGAATTGCGAATTGAGTAACAGCTCATCAACACTGTTCATATTCGCATACGGATTCGTTGTAAACAATCTCCAAGAATCCAATAGATAATTTCAAATTTTTATGATTAACAATGTTTATTGTACAAAATATGCACTTTATGCAAAATATAATTAAATGGTAAAAAAATTTCAGTAAATAAAAATATGAAATGATCAATTATGAAAATATGTTTATTATTAAATTCTTTTATATACTTTTACACAAACACTAAACATTTTGGAGCGATGAATAACTAAATTGATTTTCTCATGAAAATTTAGTATTATGATGCTTGATGTACTAGTATGTTTTATTGATTTCAATTCTTTTGTAACTAATGCAATATAATTATTATATTTTAATTAATTTTATCTATTATATTGAAGAACTTGTGTTAAATGTATGTAAAAAAATGATCTTCATTTTTTTTTATCTTTCAAAATAATTTTTTAACATATATTTGACAAAAATAACATAATATATTTTATCTTATATATCAAAAGTCTTATGTGTGGCCAAAATATTCATTAAAATTCATTAACAAGAAATATTTCAATTAATTTATGAAAAATTATATTTAAATTTAATATCTTTAAAATTCAAATACCTTAACTAGGATATAAATAAATATGTAATTGTAAAAAGTTGAAACTTTTATGAACAAAATTTTTAGAAAAAATTGATATATTATATTTGAAATTCAAAATTTTTTTTTCAAAATAAATTTTCGATTTGAAATAATTTCTTAAAATATTATATAAAATAACACATCATACTTAATGCAATATAATCAAAATTCAACTTTAAATCAAATAGAGCTGCAATTGTAAGTAAATCGATTATATGTTATCTAAAATATGACATCATACTGAATAAAACTTTCAGTTTGCATAAAAAATATATTACAATTTGAAACTTATTGATTGATTATTATTTAACATATTTTAGCTAATTTCAGCAAAAAATAGACGAAATTAAAATTTGAAATTTAGAAATATTTTGAGTTATACATCATATTATGATTCTTGAAAAAATTAAATTGAAATCAAGGAGATGAAATTTCAAATTTAAATCTAACTTTTTTATTACATGACATCATGTATAAATAAATATATAGAGTGATATCTACATCTAATTAGTTTATCGAATGATGTTTTGGAAACTTTTATATAATTTATAAATATATAGAGTATTTAATTTTTATTTGGTAGATAATTTTATTTTATAATCTTTATTTAATTATAATAAATTAAATTTCATTTAAAAAATATTAAAATAAATAAAATTTAAAATATTTCTTTGAATTTTAAGATGTAAAAAAAAAATTATAAAAATTTAAATATATGAAAAATGAAATTATTATTGATAATTTTTTTGTGAAATAAAAAATTTGATATGACTTATTGATTTAAATTTTGTATGACTTTAAAATTTTGGATTTTTTTAAAAGATACAAGATATTAAGATTATCAAGAATCATTGTAAAACAAAATTTATAATAAAAATTTAAAAAAATTTAAAATTTTAATTAGTTTTTTTAATGGTTTTTTCTTGAATACAATTTCATTTTTCAAAAATATTCTAAATTTTTAAAAATTTATAAACAAAAATCAAAAAATTATTTTTAACTCAGCAATATATATTTTTTGGTTGAAAAACCAAAGCAAAAAAAAATTAGTTTTTAATCATCATTACAAAATTCATTAAATGTTTTTAGATTATATGCATAGCAAAGATGTTCACTCATATGATTGTGTATAAATTATGACTGATATACTTAGTAAAATATTTGAAATAAATTTAACAAAAAAATACATGATTCATAAAAGTGAACTTACATCTATAAAAGACAAATCTTTTTATTTTATTGTCGTAATAAAGTGTGTTCATCACATCGTTTTTCACAGCGTTTGTCAAACAAAAGCCGATCATACATGAATTATGAGCAAGTACGAGGAACACAGGAGATTAGTGCAAAGTGAAAGCAGGATGTTGCACGAATATTATGGAGTGTAAGGAAAGCGATGTGAATGGAATTGAACAATGAGAACCTGGATTCTGGTTCTAAGTGATTTTGTAGAACATGTGCAAAGTGGAATTCATATATGTCGAGATCAAACAAAAGCATATGAAAGCTTAAAATGAACATGATCGATGCTTGAAATGAAAATTTTTATGCTGAATGTTGAAAATTATTCTCTAGTATACTTGTGTTTATAATTTGATTTTATATTCAATGTTTTTTTTCATTTTTAAATTCAAAATATTTCTTACATGATCAAATCTTTAATTTAAGTAAAAAACTCATGATTTCTTTCAGTTCAATAACATCAAATATATCTCCAAATGCAATAATATGTCAATTATATTTAAACTAAAATAAGAATGCTGTTTTTTTATAAATATGTTCAATTTTTATGATTTCATAAAATGATAAAACATTTTGATCTATTTTTAAAATTGTTCATAATTGATAAAAAGTAAACAGTCAACAAATTAAACATAAGTCATTTTTATCTCAAAAATCATAAAAATAATTATGATAAATCATTACAACATGCATTTGATCACAATTAAATTTGATCATAATGACATAATAGATTATTGTACTCATTATCTTATCTTATATAAAAATTGATTATCATTCATCTAGCTTTATACACACTTTATATTTTATGACGTAAGCTAAATTTTTTTAGACTTATTTATTATAAATTAATTGTAGCTTGTTCTAAATTTTCATTATCTTTCAAAATTTGTGATCAATTTCATCTTTAATTAGAAAAATAATTTATGTGAACTATATTTGTTTATGAAGATTGAAAGTACATCATGATAGAAATTAGTGAAAGCAAGTATTGTTGAAAAAAAATTAATTCATAATTTTAAAATATAAAAATTCATAAGTAGAGAAATAAGATACTCATCTATAGATTAGTTGAAAAATATTCAATGATGAAAATTGCTTTTATCAATAAAAATTACATATTGAATGACAAAATTATTTCACAAGACTCATACGCAACAAAAATGGCTTAATGAAAATCATCACAAATCGTTTTATTAGATGGAATTTACCTCACATCTTATGTCACTCAAAATCTAATTTCGACTCACGGTGCAAAAGTATGAAAGAGCAAGAGCGGAGCGGAGCTAAGTGAATGTTGCGGATGGGTGAAACATTTTTTTTTAATACAAAGAAATATGTGTTGAAAAAACTTTAAATCATAATATTAATTCGTGATATACTGCACATTGTTTTAAAGTTTTTCTAAACATTAATATGTTCAAAAGGTAAATTCATTGAAAATATAGATCGATTGGTTGCAATATCTGGCTAAGATACAAAGCTCGTGCAAAGCATCATCTAATCCTCATAAAAATTTGATTTAGCACTTGTTAGTCAACGTGACACGATTTTTTTGCATGTTTTGTTTGACTACTACACTACTCCATTTGTAGTCACATCGTCAGCGGCAAAATCATAACGTGACAATTCACCTATGCCAAACAAGCGTTTTTTCACATCTTCTTCACACTCATACATGATTGTCATAGTTTGTATTGCGTTGGAAAAACTTGCAACAATCAGGACTTCACTCTCTAGTAAGCAGAATTTTGTTTGAAACTTGACGACCATGTGTCGTGAGTGAAATTTAACTAGATAAAACAATACTTGATGGATTTCAACAAGCTATGTATGTTCCATAGTGATTCCATCAAATAAAAAGTCTTGTATTGAAAAGTATATTAAATAATATTGTTTGCCGTTATGATGGAAATGAGTAAAATATTTGTATAAAAGTAGTAAATAATTGATAGATTTTTAAAACTATATTGTTCATAAATTCATCATATAATTTCAAAAATTCATTAAAATTAATTTTGAATAAATTTGTATCAGAATTAATTAAAATCATAAAATTTCTAATTAAAATTTTTAAAACTAAATTAACATGTATTGTGATTTTTCAAACATAAATAGTAATACAAAATAGGTAAGAATTACTATTTTTTATAATGAATTTGAAAAAAATAAAATAATATTAAAATAAAATAAACTATGTCAAAAACATTTTAAAACTCGCAATCATTAAACTGTTATTTTGTAGATAGAATAGCTACTATTTATGCTTTTAAATATGCAATTAAAGTTCATGAAGTTTTATATTTGTTCTATTAAATTTACCAGAAATTATTTTCAAATTTTAAAAAGGTTTAATTTTGTTTTTTTATAAAATACTTCATATTTTCATATATCATACATTTTATTTTGTACATGTATTCATTTGCAACATTGAAGTAGTAAATTCTAGAATTAGAGTTGTGAGTTTTTCAAAATTTATGTACTTAATAGGGGAAAAATTATTTGGTTCACATGAATCTAAAGAGAATCTAACATGTTGATTGCATTATTTTATCACATGAAATATGTAAAAAAAATTTAACAAGTACAATAAATAAAATCTTTGCTTTCAATATATTTAATATCTTTACAACATAAAATTAACACATAAACATTAGGTTCATATTGATATTTAGGTTACTTGATTGATTGTGTTAATGATTAAAACATACATTGAAAAACCAAAATAATTAGATATTATGTCTTATAAGTGTTATTTATAAAAAAAATACAATTGATGCAAAAAAATATATATTATGCATTAATCTCTTTTTCCATTGAAGAGTTTTGATGATGTGAGACAAAATATTTTTTTATGAAAGTATCTAAATACATACAAACATTTGATTTTTTATGTAATTGGAAAAAAATTGATAATTAATTGTGTTATAATGCATCAGAACAAAAAATTCTTAGTTTATTTTCATTCAAATTTACATGTGACGATTTGTTTATAGCTTTTCATAAAATTTATAAATATAATTATTTTAAAATATTTTGAAAAATAATCTATCGTATTTGTTTACTTTTAAATCAACATAGCATTCATCAAAAATATTTTTTCATTAAATTACACATTATTAGTAATAAGACTGATTTTAATTTTACATCTTTTAAAAAATTTGCTTTCAAGACATTATACGATGATTTTATTTCTTTCAATTAATTTTTTCAAAATAATTATTTGAATTTTATGTAGACACAAAACATGCAAATGTCACTAAACACTTGACACAAAGACAAGCCAGCAACACTAGAGAAAACACCTCATTCATTCATTCATTCATTCTCAAGTACTACATCCACGAAATAATACATGTGAATGACTTTACTGCTTAGGTGAAAACACAACAATGCATGCAGCAGAGAAACATCAAGATATATATAAACCCAACATAGACGATCAATCTCATGTGAAATTCTCTATAAAAAACTACATGTGAGGTTATTCCTTAACCAGAGTTGATTTCCACAATCTCTACTTTAACTCGTGTAAAAGAATCTCAATAACTTTTCTAACCTATATTATTACTCTACAATAAATTTTAGACGGAAACTAACACAATGACTCTCTTTAAACAAAAGTTAATTCAAACTAAGCCGTAGTCATGACAAGATAAAGAAATAATCTGCATAGGTAATTAAAAACATATCTACCTTTAATTTGTGTTAAGGAATCTCAGTAACCTCTCTAACTTATATTATTATTCTTATAACATGATAGAATAATAATATATAGAGGTAACTCAATAATGTACCCCTTAGTTCGTGTTAAAGAATCTCAGTAACCTCTCTAACTTTTATTATTATTCATATAACATAATAGAATAATAACATATAAAGGTAACTCAATAATCTACCCCTTAGTTCGTGTTAAAGAATATGAGTTAACTCTCTAACTTATATTATTATTCCTATAACATGATAGAATAATAACATATAGTGGTAACTCAATAATGTACCCCGTAGTTCGTGTTAAAGAATATGAGTTAACTCTCTAACTTATACTATTATTCCTATAACATGATAGAATAATAACATATAGTGGTAACTCAATAATGTACCCCTTAATTTGTGTTAAAGAATTTCAGTAAACTCTCTAACCTATATTATTACTCCGCAAAAGTTTTTAGACAAAAATCTAACACAAGATTACTCTTTGAACTGGAATTAACTATAACTAAACCATAATCATAACAAAATAGAGTAATAATATACAAAGTTAACTACAACCTCATAGGATAGATGGAACAAAAATCTCTTAACCTACATAATTACTTCGTGGTAAGTTTTAGGAAGAAACCTAACACAATGTTACTCTTTAACTAAGAGTTAACTAGAACTAAACCGTAGTCATCACAGGATAAAGTAAATATGTTAAGAGATGATCAAAGATATTATGTTAACAAAAATCTCTTGTGCTCCCTATGTACAACCTACATAGTAGCATAGTGTCATCTGAAACTCTCCAAAGTAAAGACTTTGATCAAAGTATTAATTGGATTGAGTTTATCGTTGATATTAACTATCTCAATCGTTTTTTCAAACATTGCTTATGATATCTATGAAATCTTATGCCAATATGCTTCACTTTATTATCCATGATTTGGCTTGCAACTATATGTAAAGCACTCTGGCTATCGCAATGAAAATTTATCACACGTTGTGTAAATCTTATTTCCATGATAAAACTATCTAACCAAATAGCTTCATTTACCGCTTCTATTATTGCCACATACTCGATTTTCGTTATTGACTGAATTATGCACTTCTACAAGGTAGATCTCAAACTAATAATTTCATCATCAAATGTAAACACAAATCCAGTCAAATATAAACTTTTGTCTAAATCTTGTCCGTAGACAACATCAATATAATCAAACAAGAACTTAGCATTGTCTAATAATTCATCAAACAACAAATTATAATCCACAATACTCTTCAGATATCTTAGAATCCATTTCACTGCTTCATAGTGAATTTTTCTTGGATTCAACATGTATTTGCTCACCATACCCATTGCAAGATTGTTATCATGCCTAATGCACATCATCAAATACATGAGACTGTTTACAGTTTGTTCATAGAAAATACATGACATTCTTTCTTTCTCCATAACATCTGTAGAACATTGACTTGCGAAGAGTTTAAAATGTGTTGGCAGAGGAGTTCATCTTACTTTCAAATCACCATGTTGAAACTGTCAGATATATGGCAAACATACTTGTTCCAATTCAATCAGAGCTTCTTCTATTCATAATACTTATAAATAATTATGATTGATATCATCTTCGACTCTCCCATAATCTTTATCTTAAATGTAGACTTCAACTAATTCTTATGCTAATCGACATCAAATTGATTTATAGTCAAGATGAACATATTGTCAATGTAGAATATTAAAACGAGAAGATTGAATGTCTTATCATTAAACTTCTTTATGTACACACAAAGTTCGTACATGTTTCATACAAAATTTTGTGTTTTCATAAACTTACACAATTGAAAAGTTTATTTCAGTCCATACAATGATTTTATTCATTTAAAAATTAAAATTTTTTGAATTTTGAACTCAAAATCAACTTCTGTCTTCACGTAAATCTCATATTCTAAAATCCATAAAGAAATATTGCAGCCACATTCATTTGACATATAATAAGTCTGATTATTGCGACTAGTGCACATCCCAGATATAATCATAACATACTTTATTATATACCAAAAGATTTAGTTTTAATCTACAATGTTCTCTAGCCACCCATCTTGCTTTGAAAATTCTCAGACTCATTTCTTTTCTTTTCTATATTTTCAAAACTTTGGAAAAAATAACTTAAAACTTAGTATTCATGTGTTGGAATTACATACCCACCTATCTCCGTAGGTTGACAATGTTCTTTCCGTGTGTTGACCTGTACATACCAGAAGTTTTGAAATGGCACGAGTTACGAACTAAATATTTTGATATTATGTTGGGTTGGAACACAAGTTGTTAACTTCGTTGTACTGCTAGATGCCGACAACATACTTTCGAGTGAGTAGTGAGTGGTTAGTAATGATAAATTGGTTGAATTAAGGCCACAAATAAATTGTTGGTCCATTACAAATGGATCTGAAGCCTGTCAATTCCATCTCTTTCCTGACGTCGACGTTCTTCATAAGTCTTTAGATACGAAGACTTCTCACGCGGCTCGGATAGTGTACGTACATTTAAAAGATCGTTTTCGGTTGGAACTCACTTCGTCAGCATCTGTAGATCGCTGGATGTTGGCAATACAGCGAGGGATAGTTGAAACGTAATTCGATTAAGACAATCAACGAATAACTAAAGTATGTGAAATTCATATTGTTCCTAACGTCGACAGTCAATATCAAGCTTTAGGACACAAAGACTTTACGCCCAGCTCAGATCCTAGACTACAATTTCGAAACTGTAACACTATGTATGTAAACCCATCTCTTTCCTTTCCGGCTGATAGTTTACATCATGCCTTCAGATTCAAAGACTTTTCACTATGCTAGGTTGATACATCTATAATTTGGGAACTGATTTCAGCTTGAAGCATACCTTGACAGATTAGTCAGATTGCTAAGTGATAACTGTACACTTTGAGGTGATTAGTGTAATAAAAGACTTATGTAAGTATATGAGACGTTAGTCGACATTTAATCAAGATAAAGAAGTTGTTTCGCATAGTGCAGGCTAAGACGACCACCCATTTCCACCAGACAAGTTTAGTCTTCGATAACTAAGGTCCACGGACTTACGCGGTCACTACTGGGACTGACGCCCCAAAGTATTCCGTTAAGACTCACGAGCGCATATTAGCATTCTCTGTGACAAGTTGGACTTTACACTACGGCCGTAAAAGCATGCAAAGAGGCAGAGGCCTTAGTGTAGATCAGAGAACATAGGCAAGTGAAAATGGAATGCAACAGTGAGGAAAGGAGGCCAAGTAGATAGAAACAACGCTGCAGTGAAATTGCTAACCCAAGAAGGCATACACAGACACAAACACTGGGAATAGCTGATCCTCGACAGCGACATACAAAAAGAAACTGTGCTGGAATTGAAGCACAGTCCAAAATAGGTAACAGCATCAGATTGATTTTCTTAGAAACTGTTCCTGGTCCCTAAGAGCTTCTGGCAAAGTCTTAACGATGTCAGTAGCTGAGAGGAAGCGGAGATAAAAGCCTCTCCATTTGCAGAGTACAAAACTATAATCTCTCATCAGACCTCGGGACGATGTCAGACAGCTCAAAACTGCCGAAAAAGGTGTCCATTCAAGGGTCTCTCTATGTCATACCTATGACGACTGCCACATAATTTCTTTTCTCAAACCCGGCTCCTCCGCGTGCGTGGTTCGGGAAGACCTAACCTTAGACGCATCATTCAATCTCAAGCCTCCTTCGTTCGCAAATTAGTGTCAGAACGGGAGCGAGATTCGCAATCAAAAGGTCTGCAGCTTCTTCAAATCCTTCAAACCAAATCATCCAGCAGTAAGATGAACCACGCACTTCAAACGGGGAACCAGAGTATGAAACTTGAAATAACGGACAACGTTCTACTTTCTCTTCTTCGGAAGAACTAACCTAGCATCTGATTTTTCTTCCTCCTCCTCCTCCTCCTCCTCTTCACTCAGTGATTCCTCCAAAACTTCATCTGGCTCCTCCAACGGAGTATTTCGCCGTAGCAAATACTCTCCAAGAAACTTCATACACTCTCCTTTCAGTTGCACCAAGGCAGCCGATAACACGAGCCCTTGCTGCTCTCCCACGGAAATGAAATGCTGGTCGTCTGGGCCTAACGCAATGCTCGCTGTCGCCAGAGCGCCCTCCTGATCCATTATGTCGCTCTGTCACACGAAAGAAAATCCCGAAACCCCGATTTCTTTTGAGTTCCTAAACCCAGGAAACCCTCGAAGCTGGGAAGGCAAGGCAAAAATCTACATTCCATTTTCATACCGGCTCTGCGAACAGCACTCCAAGTAACCCTTTCATCTCTACTGCGGCGACAGTCCACTAATCGAATATCGACTTCACTCACCATGAGAGTCCGAATTCTCCGATCAGGTGCACGCTCCTGGTCGCGTCGAGCGAGTACAAATCGATTCACTTCGCCGTCAGTTGTCACTTGAGTCTCTTCCTTCTCCTCCCTTTTTTGAACTTGGAAGAACCTTTGGATTCGTCATTCGGTAGGCACATGCGACAAGAGATCCTCAGACTCGGACTCTTGGTCGCAGCGCTATGGGCTTTCCGCCGTGTCCCTACGACCTTCATTCGCTTTGAGGAAAATCATGACGGTGACAATTTTCAGTGTGGCCCTTCAACAGCTCAAACATAGCCAACCTTCAGGTTTGCTATTAGTTCATCTCACACAAAACCAACATTCCAGTAAGAAACTCGCTGGATTTTTACTGGTACTCCGCTATAATGTCGGAAATAGCAGGAGATTATTGTCTTGGCCTCATACACGTCAGCAATTCAAAATTGAGGCGGAGAATTACATTGTTTCGACTTGAATTTCGTACACGTAAGGGGAAGCAAGAGTCAATGCATCAATCTTCAGGATAAATGAATGTATGACAGTCATGTACTTTGATTTTGTATAAGTTATACATGAACTCAGACCGGAAAAGAACTTCGTGAAGTAATGAAAGAGATTGGTACCGCAGCAATATGTGAGCATCTAATGGCCAACAACATTTTGGTGAGCTTTGCAAACAATGAAGAACTTTGTGTATACCACACTACTAGTAATCCTAATTTCAAACTTCCTATATTGTTAGATACACAAAGCAAAAGATATGTGAAAGAAAGTAGATTAAGCTGTATAAATTTACTATATTGTATCCTAAGATTTATCATTGTTAAGTCAGGATTATAGCACATAGATTTTCACATAATACTACCAATGTATCGCAGTAATTTATATGATTCTCAAAACATTGAAAAATATATAACTTTACTAAAAATGATAAGAAGCAGAATTTCAATGAGGTAGATTAACACTTTGATAGAAGTTATATCACATATACTTCAATTCATTTTCAGCATTCTTCATACTACAAACTATTTTTCAATCAATTCTAATTTCATTTCTTTTCTTGAAACATATATTTCACCATGCTCAATCACACAGTACACAGATATGTAAAGCAATATATGTATATATATATGAAATTTAATAAATTAATATATTTTTTCAATGCATTAATTTGACTACAAAAATCATAGATTTTGATTACTATAAATTTTTAATAACAAATTTAATTTTGGAGAAAATGTTATGTGATGTACATGTTTTTTAGCATGTTTTCTATCATTTATTCAAGATATAATACACTATGATTATCGAAACAAATATTGATAATATGTATATTCAATTTCAGTTCATTAATAAATTTTTTGTAACATGTTCTTGCTTTACGCATGCATCTTTCTGACATGATAACAAAAGCACATATACTTCTATATGTGATCATTTTTTAGTTTATACACTTACATATGATCAATCTATGATCATTTTTTTGCAAATTGAACTAGCTTAGAATAAAGATTTTTGTGAATCAAAAAAATATCTATGTTCATGTTTCATAATCATATTTTTTTTAAACTTATTGACAACAAATTTCTTTAAAACAAATGGATCATATTTTCCAATATTTACTCATTGTCATTATCGTATTCAATTTTCATATCATATTTACAAATGTATTAGCTTATAAAATATATATTGGATAATACATATAAATAAAAATTGATGATCTTAAAATATAGCAATTTATTGGTGTTAATTTTTTTGTGCATACATTTTTAAGCTCTTAAAAAATATACTTGCTTAACTAATTATTGTCTAGAAGAGTTTATTTCATCTATAATAAATTTCTTCTTATGTCACATAATTAAAGTAATTTTGATCAATGTGTACCTCGACAACTTGAATGAGTAGAAATGTGTGTTTATAACAATCATACTTCTAAATACGGTAACATTTTTTCAATGATAATTGTTCAATAAATTGAACATACATACTAACAATCATCTTACAATCTTCATAATTCAATATTTGTATATCATTCATTCTACTTTCATTTAATCCATGATATATGTTGCATATGTGATAAAAATTTGGCTTAATTTCTTTCAGACATGAATTTTTAATTTATCAACTATAATAATTTAAAATAATTTTAATAAATCATATTTTTGATTAATTTGAACTGTTGATATTGATATATTGAGTGATTATTTTATGTATTTGTAAATTGCACTTATGAATTTTATAGATTATATTATTTTTTAAATAGACACACTCAAATCTTGAGTACACCTCAATTATAATATATGTTTATTTCGAAATAATTTTTTAAAAAATCCCCACATTTCATTGTTTTTTTATTATTATCCAAATTTAAATTTTTTGACTTGTGTATAAACACATTTTTCATCCAAATCAGTAAATTATATTTATCAAAAATTATTTGATATTCAAGCATGTACGTATTTCAATGTTTCTGATACAAAACTTGTAATAATATTCTTATTTACAATTACTTCAAGCACTATTTCATTCAAAAGTTTGAAATCTAGCTTTTAAAATTGTTTACAAAATTCTGTTGTTTGACATTTCAATATTCTGTGAATTTATTCACATTTATATTCTTTCACAAAATATTTAAATATATATAGTATTTCTAATCATTATTGATTATTTTTCATATAAAGTAAACTGTTTTGTTGAAAAAAATTTACAACATTCTTTAATTTAGAAATATGAATAAAACAGGCATAATCTAAAATTCATATATCATCAGATGAAGTAAATGAGATGCATATGTCATATATCTAGCTTTATAATAGAAAAATTAGCAACTTTAATTTTTTGCATATCAAATTTTTGAATCATCTTCCTTCATTTAAAAGAATTTTGCTTTAAATATAAACTTCTTTTTCCAGTATCAAATAAACTTTTTTAAATGTGCAAAGGCAATAAGTTCACATGTGCAAAGGCATAAGTTTTTTATTTCAAACTTCGTTGAGTAGTTTTAATAAAATTTTGTAAAACTTGATCATTCTAGCGGCAATAAAAATCATGGCAATTGCAAAACTAATATGAACATTTTCAACATTAGAAATAAGTGGTAAAATCAAAACAAGATCAACAACAATAAACACAATATTGGTCTAATATACGTTTTAATCTATGCAGTAAGTATCATGAAATATGAAATGATATTCAAAGTAAAATTTCATAATGAAAAATGAAAAATATATCAGAGCAAGATTTACACTGCAGTTTTTATGCAACTGCAGTTATTTGTCATTTGATGAATATTGTTAATCAATCAAAGCTTCAACTTATACATCTTTAGAAAATGTTTTTATTATTCAATATTACATATTGTTCTTACGTATTAATAATCTTCAAAATCTATCAACATGCTTTAAATTGGGAAAAGATACAAAATATTTTAAAATATTTTATACCGAAATATTAAAGTAAGGAAATGATTACAATTGTATTAAATTTTATATAATTTCTTTTAATGTCATAAATTTATTTTAAAACTTTAAAAAAATGTAGGTTCTAAATATTTGCAATTTTTATCATGTATAATCTTGATTACGAATTTTTCTTCATATTTATTTCTGAATTTAAAAACTAATATAGAGATATGAATGTCAATTTAAATATACTATTAAAGAACTAATGTTACATCAAAAAGTATATATTTGGATATATTACTAAAGTAAAAAAAATAAAAATAAAAGAGTACGTTGGCTTTAGGCACTTGCAGCGCTGAATTGTCATGCAGTTTTGTTGAGTGAAAACTCCTAGTAGGTCCATGGGACTAGTCACAACATAATGATATTGATGGTTGTGTAATTTTGGGTTGGAATGTTTTTTCCATTAAAAAAATGTTGATTTTATAAATTTATGCTACTCTTGTCTTGGATGAAATAATGAACATGTTATATTGAGAACGCAAAATTAAATAACATGTACAGCAAGATCAAGATATCCATGATAACATGAAGTTATCATCATATGTTTGTATTTGTAGTTTGATGAATAATTTAACTGCCCAGAAACACCTTTAGGTTTTGCAAAGAATTCGGATCTCTTGGAGGAGCATGTGACAATATGTTAGTTATAACATTTGAAAAGTTGAGAATACATCTGATCACACATAGTACTATGTATGTCCACTTGGTAGTGAAGTGGACATACATATCGCATATTTCACCATGTAAACAATCAATGGATGTCATAAGAGTCAAGCCCGTCATCGTGCAATCTTCGGCTCTTATTAGAGTCATGCTAACATGTGCACATCGCGCACGACAGTGCATAAGCATTCCTGTGGGCGTTTTGAGAGATGTGTGGGTAGCGAAGAGGCCAAGGGAGAGAGGAGAAGGAGTCGCTTGACTGTAGTAAGAGAAGAAGGGTTGGGTTTGACTGCCGTGGGAAGTCGATGTCGTAGCAGCAAGGAAAGGAAAGGCCAAAATGCACCCACCGTGTGACTGACTGCCCTACGTAATCATAGGCAGAAGATTCGCGGGATCTAGAGGCCGACCTCACACTTCCCGTCAATCATCACCTGCAAGACGGAGTGGGTGAAACGGGCAGCAAATGCACAAACGTCAGCTCGGTCAAGCAGGAGTCCGAACTCACCGGACGGACGGACAGCGTGTAGACATGGGAAGGAAACTTCGACGGAAGGACGGAAGCACGGAAGGAAAGAAGGAGAGAGGCCTGGTCAGCAGTGGTTGCAACGTGCGGCAATCTCCGGGCGAGGGGAGGGGATTCATGAGATCGATTGACTCGGGAGGCTGGAGCTCGAGCGAGGACACGGCGATGATCAAAAGGGAGGCAGCCCCTCAGGCCTGACGCTCAGACAGATTCCTGTTTTGCTCGTTTCTCGTCTCGCCTCGCCTCGCCTTCAGCTGCGCTTCCCCTCTGCTGCTGCTGCTGCCTGTCGATCGATCGCTGCAACCATCCATCATGAGGTCTCGCGTTGCTTCTTCTGTGATCCGGGCCTTCCGTGCCGCCTCGTCGCGGTCTGCCTCATCTCTTGCTGGAGGTCAGTTTCCTCTCTCTCTCTCTCTCGTCCGAGGCCGCCGCTGTAAAGGGTTTATGACGGCGGATTTTACGAACTAGAAGTTCTGGGGGAGATCTTAATTTTGGTGAGGGCCTCGCATTTTGATTGCGGCCGTCGTTGGGTTCTCAAAATGGTAGAAATGAAGAATCTCACTGTCGGTCGGAACGCAATTATATAACTTGGAACGATTATGGGACGAGTGCGTATAGATCTCTGCAGCGAGCGAGCGAGCGAGTGCCGAGTTCAGGGGAGGCTGTTGCGTGGAATGCAGCGTATATACCGATGATGATGCTGTCTTCGGTACTCCTGAAAGGCACCCAAAGAGGCTGGAGTCGTTTTGATTAAATAAAGTAGCGAACTTTGCAGAGATTCAAGCAGCAGCAGCCTCGTTTGATTCACTTTTTTCGTGCTCTTGCTCTTTTCGAGCTTGACAGAAACTGGCAACTCCCGCTCCACATCACATGTCTCGGTGGGTGCTAGCTCTTGGATCTGACGTTCCAGCTTACATGTCTTGGGCTCATTCGACATGACGAGCGGGTGTTACATCTCACTATTTCGAGTGCTTGAGGCACGCACTATCAGGCACATCTAATATCTGTAACTATCCGTAGGAAGCATCGAAAAAGTCGGTTTAGTCTCGAGTGGACCAACATGAAGGCGACGGCATTAGCGGAGCGTAAATCATGCATTCATTCATGCATGCAATCTTAATCTCTGGTCACTTTTCTTTTTCCTATTTCATCACTACTGTTGTTTTAAGATTTTTTTCTTGTCGTCTGTCGGAGCGAGGTCCCACTAGTTCTCGTCCATTGAGGTCGACTTGAACGGACAGGACAGACAGTGAGGTTCAGACCTGTCTGCCCGCCCATTGTGGAGGAGAAAGGAGAATGCATGCAGGAGTGATTCGATTCCGTGTTCTGTTCCTAGTATTCTGGTTCTACCGTTCAAAGCAGTGTCCCCACCAATGATGGAATGATGGTTTTACGCTCAGTTCGAGTTGCCTGATCAATTGCGGACCGCAGATGGTGGTTAACGATTTATCGATGCTAAATGTTTTGCTCGAGAGTGGGGTTGGTCTTTGATGGATGGATGGATCGTGTTTGTTCCTTGAGCCGCAGATGGAAGAGCAGTGATGTCTGCTGCCGCCTGCAGGCACTCTGCCGTGGCACCTGCCGTGACCGCGGGCAAAGCATGGACGAACTCTTCATACGGAACTGTGTTGTCGACTGCTGCGTTTTTGTCGGCCTCTGGTACGATCCACTCACTCCGCTTTTGACACCCCCAGGAAAGAAGGGTTTTGATTTCTTTCTTTCGGATGATGACGATGACTTAGTAGAAGTCAGGTCTTTTACTGGCCTTAGACTGCTAGCAAGCAAGCTCACTCTTCCAAAACGATGAGAACAGCGAGAGAGATCGAGGCTCAATTGATAGATCTTGACGGATGCAAACTTCTGTGGAATGTTTCAGTGTACACTTTCGTCGACCAGGAGCTGTCAGCTGCGGAGGTAGGGCAGAGGCAGAGGGCCGCACTGTGTTAATAGCAGCAGGCGATTTTGAATTCATGTTTGTAGTCTTTCCATGTTCCACTTATCTCGTTCCCTGCCGGCGCAAATGGGCAGCGCACATTGTAGAGTATCCGGTCCGCTGAAGTGTTGTTGTCGTTGTCGTCTGGTTACAACAGCTGGAGCGAACTTTCATCGCAATCAAGCCTGATGGTGTCCAACGAGGCCTGGTAATCAATCCCCACCATCTTGCGTCTTCCAGATCTTCCTCTCGTGATCATCCTTTTTGGCAATTCTCTCCACTTCATTCGACAGGTGCGATCCGACTTAACATGGATCGAAATTGAGGTGGAATCGAAATGGCATGGTAGAGTCAGTCTTCTCATTTTGCATTGTCCAACGCCCGCTCGCGCAGATCTCCGACATCATTGCACGATTCGAGAAGAAGGGTTACAAGTTGGTGGCCATCAAGCTGGTGCACCCCACGAAGGATTTCGCCGAGAAGCACTATGACGATCTCAAGGGTCGCCCCTTCTTCAACGGACTGACTGACTTCCTCAGTTCCGGCCCAGTGGTTGCCATGGTACCTCCACCTCCCCCTTCTCAAAGCATGTCGAATCACACAGCAGATCCACAAGTATCGCGGCTGCATTATAGACGAGGAAGAATGAGAAACTTCAAGCGTCCGAATTGATATCCTCTGAAGACTCGGCTCCACACTGCCAGCACGGATTTTAAACATCGATGAGACAGTTGACGAGACGGGGCTTGGGCTTCTCGCCCACTCACCGGTTCCTGCGAGAGTGGAACAGATTGTAACCTGAGAGCTCAGACAATTCAGGAATTCATTTTGCTTCCGTTTGGCTGTGAGCGACCCATCGTCAGTGTCTTGGCTGACAGGACTAGATCCGGAGTCTGATATGTGCTCGCTCGTTGTAGGTCTGGGAGGGTCAAGGAGTGATCAAGTACGGACGAAAGTTCATCGGAGCCACCGCTCCCCTTGCGTCCGAGCCCGGAACAATTCGTGGAGATTTCGCCATCTCGGTCGGAAGGTACGGGGCCCTACTATTCCCTTTGGACCGAAACAGGATGGGCATTTCGTCGAGCATCCTCGGTCCCCTCAAACTTCCGTGAGCTGCTGCTGTGTGCTTGATGACGTTCTCTTGGTGAGATAAGAGTGAGGGAGGATGAGGAGCTGCCTCTGCTGACGCTGTGGACACCATTGCATTGCAGGAACATTATCCATGGCAGCGATGGACCGGAGACTGCCAAGGATGAGATCGCTCTGTGGTTCAAGCCGGAAGAGATTCTGTCTTACAAGAAGGAGACCGATAAGTGGCTGTACGAGTAGATTCTAGACCTATTTATTCTGGTGCCAGAGTTTTGGGCTTTGGCCTTCTGGTACGGTACACACAAGTAGACCTCGATTAGATGATCTTTGAGTGCAGAGAGGCGCAACCAACCAACCAAATGGTACTCTCTCAGCTTCCCCGCGGTGTCGAAGTACAATGTCAAAAAGACGAGATAGAATGACCTCTCATTTACGGATGATACGGGAGCCGCCGCCTCTGGCTGTCTATCTCAGAGGCTGCACTTTCAGACCCTCCCTATGAGATCGATGTGAGTGACTGGTTTTGGGGACCCACACATTTTCCAAATAATGGAGGCATGCCAATGCCCAAGTTTACTTTTACAACATCTGACTTGAGACCACTTTTCCTGACTCTGAAGGGCTCGAATCCAGACCATCTAGTTTCCTGTATTTGTTTTGTCGAGAATGGCATTTGGCTGTCACCTAGTCAGTTTATAAGCTAGAAATTGCGCCTCCCACGTATTTCTCCTCCTGGACCGGGCCTCTCTGCCGTCCCGCTGGAATCTCAGGCAATCACCATAGTTACAACATAATTAAATAGTAGATAGGTCAGCTAGCTAGTAACTTTGCGTGACCAGATTTACCCACCTTCGCCATTTCGTAAGATAATGCATCACATGCAAGCTCAAACGAAAGTACATTGTTTACTTGCTAGCTTGCTCAGGCCTGTAAATCGGGGGCTTCTTCTTCATGACAGCGAGTGAGCAAAAAACTGCCATGGAAAATAATGCAGCGCTTCGTTCGAGGACAATCAAGCTTGAAATAATACTTCAAATTATATCGTATAACATGCCCAGCTCCAGATATTGAGCATAAGGAATGTCCATAGTAGAAACTTCAGATCTGCAATTGGCCTCCAAAAATCTGTAGAACACACCTACGAAAATCCGTGTTGCCATCCTTGTTTTCCTACTTACTGTCAATTCGCTTCTTCCTAGAACGTAAACGGGGCCGTCGGTCTTAGCCTGGTTCAAATCTGCAATCTCAGAGGCGATGGTGAGAGGAGATAGCGTGTTGTCTTGAAGTGACTGAGGAAGTGCTGCATGATTTGTTTGTTCCGTGGCCATGATATACTCACTTAACGTTGCCACAAACTGGTCGACAAATTCGTCGTTCTGCATTTGTAGCACATCTCTGTACCCGTATCGAGCCACACATCGGTAAACTCCAGAAAAGCCAACTCTTCCCACGAGGAATCGTTCGGCTGGCAACACTCTCCTCACGGGCATCCAACGTATGGTGGTGAACACCAGCACGCGATGTAAGGAGCGCACGTTTCTCACGTAGTGACCAATTATCGGAGGCACTCCATGCAGTAAATTTGTGTAGAAGAAACAAATACCTGGTACTCGCGCACTACCTCCGTGAGCTAGTAGCTCTCCTAATTTTTCTTTGGTAATCTTATTTCTCATCTCGTAGTGGACCTTTGTTTGGCAGCCCATATTCCACGAAAACATGATGAGGGTGACAATGAGTGAGACCGCAAATGGGAGCCAGCCACCTTGTGGTACCTTCGTCACAACAGCACTCATGTACGTACCTTCTACAACGATGAAGAGCAGAAAAAAGGGGAGTACTAAGAACACTGGAGTTTGCCATATTACGAGCATCACCAAACTTATGAGGCAGGTCGTTATCAACATCACCGCCACAACAGCCACACCTGTTCCACATTGAGAGTCATCCTGCAGGATTAGAAATGCTAGAATCAGGAGACATTGAAACTAGTCCAACACTCTAAATCGTTGCAGAAGACGCGCTGAAAGGATGGGAGGAAAAGGAACACTCACCGAACGCATTACCAATATCACCTGATTTACGAAATCCGAATACCACAGCAAGGCATAAAACCATGAGAACATAGTTGACCTCAGGTGAATAAATCTGGCCCTCTTTATTTTCTGATGTGTGCACCAACTTCACTCGGGGGAAATAATGCAAAGCCGTAGATTGCTTTATGATAGAGAAAGTAGCGGAGATGAGTCCTTGGCTGGCCACGATAGCCGCGAGGGTTGCAACCACAAAAACAGGCCAGTACACCTTCTTTGGGACCATTTTGAAAAATCCCTCGCGATGATCCTCTGGATGCTTAATGAGATAAGCAGTCTGGCCAGCATATGTTACCAGAACGGATGGGTACACCATCGTCGTAAATGCCAACTGCCAACATTAAGCTAGTTAGACTTCTTACTTTTAGCTTATCTCGCGTAAAATAGCAACCTCATTTATTAATTGGCGTGCACGAATTGAACACTTGCAGATTTTGATCACAAAAGTCGTTTCTCACTTCTTGAGCAATATATCTTTCACGCTCAAGTACGAGTCTATAGGGCCCTTCTCAGATATTCGATATTTCGCTACCCAGATAGCGTGCCTAGACATATTTTCAGTACATATTTCCTCATCTTTCATAAGAAAAGTGTAGAGGTTGCAGGATTTGCTCACTTGAATTGAACGTTTATCGAAATGACCCATGTCCGCATACATGGCCTCCGCTCCTGTATACCGTCACAGCCGTTCGTACTTTAGAGTGAGTCACAGGGAGAAATGCACCGCAGGACCTACCTATGTTCCAAATGATCGTTGATCCACCACACCACTCAACGACCCCCAAAAAAGAAATTGATTTCCTGAGATTTAAAATCACCCAATGTCACATCTCAAGAGCTTTTTCTGTGCACCTCCTAGCACAAGAATGTAATGATTTTCACTCTGACCTGTAATACACAGTATCGTGCCACCGAGCATCAACCAAGCATTTTTCTTGTTCTGCTTGAAAAAGTAGTAGATGTGAGCAGGCGAGAAGGCTTTGAAAATCCCCGGATAGTAGATTGCGATGTTGTATGCAGCAACAATAGGAGTTGTTATCAGCCAAAGGGCCATTATGGGTGAGAACACCGAGCTAACTCGATGTGTGCCAAATCTTTGGCAGGCAAACAGCACAACAAGGATAACTGCAGATACAACCACAACCACAGCTGGATTCGCAACCTTACGTCAGTACGAATGGATCTTAGTGAATAAAGAAGAAGGCTGTGGAAAAGCTGACAACGAAAATTCGTGAGGCTTCTTAGCTATGTCTACTGTCCATAATCTAAGTCCCTGATAGCTCTTCCTGAGTATGAACACAATCATCGAAGACTAATAGACAAAAGTTCCTTTTTCGGCAGCCAAACAAGGTTCCCTCGAATAATTTTCACTTGAACGCACTCTAAAACACAATCTCAGTCTTCAAGGTAACAATGCACATATCCTCACTGATGTTACTATTCACGAACTTAGCACCTTTGATCAGCCTCAAGAGTTTGGGAAACCTTTATAGCGACTCACTGATCTCTTTGCTCGAAGCGAAAATTTAGCACGGTCATCGTTTTGCCTTGCGTTCAACAAGAAGTCAGAAACACGAAGACTGAAGTAGACGAGTTACCTCTGTTGAGGCTCGGAGCAGCTGTTTGAATCCCTTCAATGGCTGACAACACTGCAGACAAAGTCATGAACTAAGTACTGTACCTTGACATGGAGAGGCCATATCTCAGCGAATATGAAAATGTCTATCATCGTTTTTGGTGTCTGTTGGCATAAGATGGACCAGATTGCGCGTTCCAGTACTATGCGCCTACTTGTTAGTGTTGGAACGTGCCGGTTGTGACAGATAATGCTCTGAAACGAGTTCAAATTTTTCGTCATCCTATCTTTATTTTCTGTGGATTTAAGCATTATCCCGTCTTTCATGAGTTGGACTCAACGCAGTACCAGATATGGCAGGGGTTAAAATGCCGTCGCCCACTAACATGCAGGTCCCCATCATGACCACGAAGAGTAAAACTCTTTGAGCTGCCACGCTGCCTTCAAGAAAACGTTTGGTACGGTTCTGCTTTGTTGAAGCCGCATGTTCGGAAAGTTGAGAACGTCTTGGGCCAGACATTTCTTGGTTGTCATCACCGGCATCCTGACCTATATTGGCATGCTGGCATAGCAGCGAGTAAACGGCAAATGTGCCACCTGAGCGAAGCATAATGAAGTAGTAGGAAAACAATTGTCAGATTTCTGCTACGTCTGGAATTTCCTGCTTTGACATCTGAAGCACTGCGCAAGTTCTCTAAACGACTTCGATGTGTCCCGGCAAGTTAACAAATTTATACCTCTGTGGGATATGGGAATATCAGCTACTACAGAATGAATCAATCCAGCACTGGGCTTGAGAGTCATATTAGAGAAATAGAACCTTCTCCATGATCGTCAGCCCGGAGAACAATCAAGGTGTATTTCAGAATTCCGATCAAGGTAAGAGTCCAGAATATGAGGCTTAAGATCCCTAAAAAATCCGATTCAGTCGGGTTCGTCACATTGATTGTTGGGTAAACATACAGAGGCGATGTGCCGAGGTCACCGTATACAACTCCCAGCGTTCGGAATGCTAAAAACAAGGTTTCCCGAAAAGTGTTTGCCTGGATTTTCACACCAAGGAATAAGCTCAAATGAGTACCAAATCCAGATGTGTCCAGGATGAAAAGCAGACTACAAAACTCCTTCCAGCTGTTTACCACTGTGCATGAACCATATCTTATTAAGCCACTAGTACACAAGAAACGATAGTCACGGGAAGGCTGGTCCAGATACAATTTCTTTCATCCGCAGAGTGGACCTTAAGCAAGTCCATTTAAGAGGTTGAGCCCAATTCAGAAAAGTGACGAAGCGAATACTGTAGACCATAAATTGCGCAGAAGCCCCTTATGGATTGAATTTCACGCTGACGGCAATTCAACGTTAGCATCCATCACGTCTTCTGAGTTATAAGATAGCTTCCTGGATCCACCTTGCAAGGAACAGATCTCTGATTTCATGGGATGATGTTGATGAATATTAGTCCGACCGACCTGATTCCAATCGCATCTACGGAGCACAGGTTCTAGCCTGGTTGAACGTACCTTCGGTGATTCTGGAAAAGCCTTCTTGAAGAATCTGGAGGACAGTGATCTGAACCGTGAAACTGCTCTACTCTCTATGTCGCTTTCTGCTCCTGCAGAGTGTCGTTCACCACAGCATGCTTCGGAGGCATTTCTCTCATTAGCTAATAATATCTCCTCAGAAACAAACTTGAAGCCAACCGCGGCAACTCTGCTCGTCGATATCAAAGCTTTTGTTAAAAGCCATCATTTGCAGATGCTAGCTGAACACACTAGAGATAATTTCGAAAGTTTCATCGTCCACTAGCTTTTCTTACACGGAGAATTTGTCAAGTCATACCTGTTCAGAGATTCATGCACATAGCCTTTGCTAGTTAGGGGCCATATGTGTTGCATATAAACCGTGTTGCCTCCTCTGTTCGTTTTGTTTGTTTACCATAACCCTTCTGTGTTTTGTGATGACATTTACTCTTAAACCCAAGCAGTAGTGTGTTATCTGGTTGTTGCAGTATTTCTAGATATATCCAATCCCGACTTGAACCTTAAAGATGTTATGTCATGTTACCGATACCTTGGCGCGGCTGTAAATTGAAAGACGGGGGCCTTGATGAGTCAACCTGTGATGGTGCAGATTTGTCTGAGCCAAGCTCGTCTCGTCTGGTGAACTGGAAATGGATCGTCGTGACTTTCTGCGTGTAGATTCCGAAATAGGAGATGAGAGTTCAGCATTTCGGCTGCACTGTCCTGAGGTTTCCGCCTCAGAGACGCTTGTTTCGGAAGGTTCTCCGGAAACAATTGGAATGGGGTTTTCATTTGTGCTTGCTGTGACACTCCTTGCTGTTATCTGAGTCGCGATTGTGCTATCGAGCATCACATTACAACTTGGAAGTCCTGAGAGTTTCGCTCCCGAGATGCTTGTTTCGTCAGGTTGTCCAGTTGGAGCGGAATTATCATCTGTGGTTGCTGTAACACTTGCTGCTCCTGTCTGAGCTGCGGTTGTGCTTTCGATGACCACGTTACCACTTGGCTGTCCTGAGAGTTCCGCCTCAGATAAGACTGGTTCGGAGGGTTCTCCAGAAACATTTGGGGTAGAATATTCATCTGGGGTTGGTGTGACACCTCCAGCTCGTGATTGAGTTGCAAGTATGCTTTCGAGCACCACATCCTCTGACTTGTCCTTGTCTTCATCCTGCGTGGTGACATTGAATATTCCACTAGAATTAGCTACTTCACAACTGGACTGAGTATGTTGTACCAACTTCCCTTACAGTGACAACAAAATAAAGTCAGTGAGAGCCATGCGTGCATACAGTCTTTCTTTTATTGATATTAGGGATAAGGATGAGGCTTATTAATGCACACTTCAAAGAATTGCGTTAAAACGAGAAAAGGTGTGGCATTAGGCATCCGCAGATTGCAGCCTTCACTTTGGCAGAATATGAAGCCACTGTTTCTGTATGATTTTATCTCGAAACAATTCAGTGAATATGCGTATATCTCTACTGCGGTAGTCAGCACTACATGCAAGTACTGTACCAGTTGTAGTGCAAGGCTCTGCCACGAAAAGCGTGCTGGGTTTACGTTGTGCGAAAATTAGGTTTCCTAACTTGTCCATGTTGCTCGGCACTAACACACGATTCATATCTTGACAGAATGTGTCTGTAATGTCAAGGAAAAGTTTCGAACGAGGAGACTAATCAACGAATTATCCTTTTGGTGGATGATGGCACAGTCCAATGTCAAGTTTGAGAAGATGAAACGCGCCTAATGAACGTAAAACATCTCCTGAAGGACAAAACCCGAGAGAAGTACGCAGAGTCTTTTGAAGCATCCGTCCAGATGCGGCTTGCCTGGAGAGATACGGAGCTTTAGAGGAAAATCTACCGAAGATAACCGCTAGCTTCGGACAACTGCATGTGTGCTAAAAAGCGGGAAACTTGGACAGTGCCGAATGTGTAGGAGTGCAGCTAGTGCTGCGACTTACGGGCATCATTGAGAAAGGCCAGCCTGATGCGAGTGCTCACAAGTAAACTGGAACACAGTTTGTCGTTCAATATTTGATTTCGACCTCAACATTGCCCCGAAATTGCCTGGGAAATGTTCTGCAAAGTTCACTTCACGGTACAATCTCTACAGCCACGTTGACCTCCTCCTGCAGGCATCAGTTTGCGGAAATGGGTAGGGCAGGATCGCAGGAATGAGCGAAAGTGTGCACTTGCGACGAGGGCGAATATCTGCCAAACCACTCGCGGTTGACATTCGGCACATTTTCGCGAAGATGGGTGCTCCACATGTTAGGGCATTTGTCTAGGGCATTGCTCCGGCGCTCCAGGCGAGGCAAGCTTCGGCGGTTGGATAATCCGGCATTCCCATCCCATCGGCGAGTACATTCCATCGGACACGTTACAAGAAGCAATGGCGGGAAATGTCGCGTACCACAACCATCGAAGATTCTAGAGTCGAGTGGAAAAGCTTTTGCGGACACGACGGTGGTGGACATTTATAGGGAACTCACTCTCTAAGTGAGAACTGGATGCAGATAGAATCAAGACAATCAAATTAACAACGCTGGGCCATGGAAGCACATGTATCTCTGTCTATCGCATGCATGTATAAGAATGTAGAAGCCAAATGCTTTGATTATCGCAGTAATTATTCTATTAAATGTTTGTGCTTATATTGCAAGCAACCGTGCTGTCCTAACATTTGACTCAAAGCTTAATGCATACCAAAAGATTAGACACGCAAATTCTTGGCCATCTGACTCAAACAGTAATGTGTACCAAAAGGTTAGAACGCTAATTCTTGCCCAGCACGTGAACGGGAGCAAATGTTATTGTGAGGCAATCCAGCGGTTCCATGCATCTTCCAACTCTTGCTTATAATTAAGGCGGTGAAGGTAAATGTACATATGATCACAATCTCATATCTATTGCTCATGTTCTTTACGTTCACCGATTGTTGGTGATGAGCTCAAGAGATTGTGATCTACTGCATTCAAAGAGCAAATTTGCTTTGCTTTTAAGTCTCAGAAAGTAGTACACTCTCGATGTTAGACTCACAATGATTACGCATCTTGTGATAGTGAAATACAAAGTGTGCTTAAATCAACTTCAGTAGACTCAGATATTTCAAGTACTGAGACTTCCACCATACTGCTCATTTTTTGTAGTTAGATAACTGCGATATATTATCTTCTCCATACATAAAGAGCATCGATTTTTAAGAGGGAGTCAAATTCAATGAATAGAATCATAGATCCATTGTAATTTTTCTGATGTCAGTCTATTGTGATTATTTACAGAATGCTAAATATAATAAAATAACATATTATAATTTGCAAATATATTTTATTAAAAATTTTAATCATTTAAAAAAATTATTCTAAAAAATTTATCTCAATATAAAATAGCTTGATATCAAAAATTCAGATGAATCGCACGCTCATTTTTTTTCAAATTAAAAAATTAATAGAATATCACTATGAGAGTTTTTTCATCAAGTTTATCCCATTGAGATTCGATTGAATTTATCTTTATAAATAATATAGGTACTCATTACAAACGTGAAATTCCACCCATTATCTATAATCTTGAAAATTTAACTACATATCAATTTTCCTATGGCTCATTTTCCAATAGAAAGGGTTGTGACAATGCTAGGTGAATAATTATATATCTAGCCTTGTCATATATACTAAAGGATATCATTTTGAAGATGAAACTCTATTCACAAAAGAATCTGGGAAAGAATCCTATTGAGAGATATAATTTCTAGCAGAAGCCGATGCATAATTTCAATGATTTACGAATTATGATTATATAATGTGTGATTGTTAAAGAGAAAAAAATGCATGTTTTTGTAAGATTTACTCTAATGTCAATTGATCCAATCATATATCAAGTGGATTCTTTCATATAGGCTCTCAAATACACTAAGATGTTTCATCTATAGCATAAAAAAACACTGTAGATCACAGTAAATATTAACTTCATGATTAGTAATGATGGTTCTGTTTTCATTTCCAGATCCACAATGTCAACTTAACATCTACATGATCATATATTTGATTACAACTATAAAAGTTGGTATTTTCATTAATTTGTATATCATGTCAGCTTCATTCACATAGGATACGAAATCTTAATAATCATCATAATCTCTATATCACATGTTGCATTATGAACATTATAAAAATTTAAGAAAATCACAGATAGTAAAGATTTTTGTTATGTTTTTTTATTTGAAAAAATTTTAGTATCCTTCATCACATTTGTAAAATATGATTTCCAAATATTCATCATGAAACATAGAATTCATAAATATTTAATATTTAAAAATAAAGAAATTAATTCAAAATTCAAAAATTATATCAAAGGAAAAAAATTGCAAAAAATAATGATAGTAAACATAAACAGAAACATATTTTTAGATTTTAGATATCATATTAGAAGGAACTCTTCTCTTCTCTTTCCCCTTCTCCCGTGTGCCATTCTTTCTACGACAGATGATGAAAAACCTTAAATTATGTCTCTACTTTGTACCAAAGGGTTAAATAATTGGGACGAGGAAAATTTCAGAACATTCATGTTCTGCCCAAACTTGGCGATGGATTTGCTTGGGTGGTAGAGGTGGGTGTGTGACAACATTAGCGTAGGTAAGAAGTGTTCCCCTAGTGCCGTACCCACTAAAGAGATTCGTCATCCGGTCAGTGACCGTCTGCCTACACGTCACCAACACGATGCAAGAACGGTACATGACGGAACCTACCATGGTCCGTCAAACTGCTCTTTAAGATCGAGCTCCGCTCCTAATGAGCTGCATCAAGAGGCTGGAAGACATTAGTGTCAATTTTAGGTTGAACATGACTCGCATTCAACAAGCACAATTTCGGTGGAAGATGAAGAAGGGCTGAGAAACGCTGCCGCACTAAGAATTTCCAACTTGCCGGAGGACAGACAGTTGTCGTCTTAGAAGGGTTACGTAGGGATTGCGGAGGTTCAGTGTCTGCTCAAGTGGTCGATCGTTCTCTCTTATAGAGCAAATTTTGCAGAGTCAAGGCCGTTCCCAAGGCTCCCCCCTTCCCTCCTTCATTCCCAGCTGACTTTTCTTCCAAAGTTTTGCCGTCCCACGTTTGTGGCGAGATCGGGAAGACACGTTTGATGTTCCTGGTTAGAAAGAATAATTGTTTCGGATGAGAGATGCTTTGCGGCAAGAAAAAATTGCGATTGAGACAACAGAAGGAGATAATAATTCGAAATCTGCTGGAAGAGTTTGTTACGCATTCATCTTGAGATCGCAGCAGAGAGTTCACGCCCATACCCCGTTTGCAGAGAAAGTAAGTAAAGAGAGCTCCTTGTCGGTGGATTTGGTACACTCCGTCTGTCGAAATCGGATGTATATATGATAATTTCACTTCATAAGAGCCAGGGCATCCTAAAGAGCGACTATGGCTGTCAACACAATCGCGATAACGCAAAATGCGTTCCCGCGAAGTTTTCAGGGAGCTTCAAACCAATGAGAGGCGTGAGAATTACAAGCTCAGATATCAGGAAAAAGGTCGTTGACCTTCCAAGGTCTGCCGTGACATACGATCAATATATATATCCAAAAATGTAATGCTGGAGGAGGTATAAACGAGATGGCGCGTCAGAGGCGGGATGATATTTGGTGAGATTGTCACACTAAATGGAGGATTCATCTTACTTTCTTCACACCGGTTGTGCTGTTGAATGCCGTGTATGGTCGTTTCCAGAGTCGTTTCGAAAGCTAGCAACGACAGATCGATCAAATAAATGACGTTGTACCAACCTCTGAACAACGTCACAACCTGTTGATGACGAAAGTTTTAGAGTGTCTCTGAGGTTGGAACTGCTAGAATTACCTTTGTGACCATGGATCCCTGAAGGCTGACAACAGTTTCCTTATTGTGATACAGGCATCTTCGACTTCTAATCATTGGAGGATGACCTCATTCCAAGCACAAGCCTTGTGGCGAGGACCGGTTTTCGTCGTGAAGGCTTTATAATAGACTCAAGAGAGAGAACATTCTCGTACGCGACAACCACTAATCGAAAAAGATGTGACGAAACATATTATTGTACAACTTCGCTCGTGCATATAACCCGCAAGATTGTTGACGGACTGATTGTCCGGTCCATCAACGGCAAACAATGGAAACTAAAACAGAGGATGAGGAGAAGAAGCCACCAAGCGATCCTTTTGGCATCATACCTTCTCAATCTATTCCCCAGGAGAGTCGGCGGCCCCCGAGACCTAGCGCGAGCAACTTACGGACATTGCGAAGAGCGAGCCTTGATAGCGCACAAGCGTTGGTAAATCGAGGCCAAGCCGGGCGATCCAACAGTGATGCTGCTGCAGACGAAGCCCATTACTTCGCCCACAAATTGCAGGAGTGGTATGACCGCAACCAGTCTGTAGACTTTGACAGCAACCCTGCAGCTAAACAAAAGTGGTTACAAACTATTAAACCTACCGATGAAAAGGGGAAGAGTCCCGCACTCGAGGCAATATCTGCTCAAGAGACGACCTCGCCTGCAGCTACCAGTAGCCCACCACACACAGAAGTATCTGACATGAAAGAAAAGGTGTCCGCATTAAGTAAGGAGGAGCTAGTAGACCTTGTCCTGCTGTATTATCATGAGTTGGTAGGCCTTGGCCGTACTCAAGATGCGACCAGAGTACTTCAATCGGTAATCCACCGCTGCTCTTTCCGAAACTGTTCTCAAACTACGTTCTGAATTTCCCACCAGGCTCGCCATATGAGCTTTTACATCAGATCTTTAAGCCTCAAAACCCTGTGCTACGAATCGAGAAGAACGTAAATCAGGTTTCATTTAAATGACCACCAGACTAATACTAAGAATACAATTTTTTTGTTGGAAACAAACTAAAGTTAGCGAGCTATCGAGTCCTCCCAAAACTAAACGAAACGAGGCGTTTAGATCTAGTTTAACATGGAGAACTGATGAACAGAAAGCAGAAAAAGTTCATAGCATTGAGTAAAATGAGCCAAGCACTTCTGAGTGACCGAGGAACTATGTCCAGACATAAGAGCTACTTGGGTAGACAGCTGGACGACATACAAGTATGAACGAAGAAATGATTTACTGCATGTTGAGATGCTTTGATAGGCTATCGAGCACGTAAGCATACAGCGGCCAGTGGTGGAGGGACAAAAAACGGGAGAAACTGGAATCGACAAGCTACTGAACGATGGACTGCTGAAGTTTCTCCTAAAGCTCAACAAGTATCTACCGCCGCTACCTGCTCAGGTAACTTCGTTCGTCGGTTTGAACCCTCTTCGCGAATTACAAACATACAGTGGAATAGGAAAGTCACTTTAACCTCAACATAGAGCCGTTTCTCTGACGAGCAAATTATCACTTTATGATTCTTGGTGTATTTGACTAATTTTGAGAGCAGTACCTGTAAATGCTGCAGTTTGAAAGTAGAGGCACACTCAGAATCTAGTCTTGTTAAGCTGCTGAAACCAGCGCACTTTTATGTTTACATGTTGTTCCTTTGATTGGTTTTCAATCGAAGGAAAAACTGGTTCATAAGCACAAGTAAACGTATCTGATTGTGGCTGTAAGGCAAGTCTACTCTTCAAGTCAAATCTAATTTTGTAGTAGTGTTGTGCACCACTAAAATGAAATGTTCGAAATCAACGTGCAGGTTATCAAATTCAAAGATGTCTCGTATTTTACAAATGTCAATGAAGCAAAAGAAGGATATGAGACAGTGGGATCCATGTCCCTCAAGTTGTTCTTACCTTGCATAGGCAACAGAGCACCACCATCGAAGTTTTCCATTCTCCAGGACTGCACTGGATACCTGATGCCCGGAACATTGACATTAGTATGCGGCCCACCAGGGTGCGGTGAGTTGCATAACCGCCACACCTTACGTATTGTCAAGATCCAGCATCGCCCTGTTTGCATGAACTAAGTACATTGCATGCTTTGTGTGGAGAAACAGACGGTTAATGATTTTGTGCTCTGCCCTTTGTAAGCCCCATGGCCGTCGGGATTTTTGTATAGTTTCATTTACTCGTCTCCAGGTTTCACGTCCCTTTGCTCTTCTATCTGCACTTCATCAAGAGCAAGGCCGATAGACCTACATAGCAAAAAGAACAACTCGAACTGCATGCCATATGAGTTGCAATCACATGGACAGTGCAAAATGTGCACAACGGACCTCACCTCATGCACCCGTCATTGTTCTTGTTTCTGTGCCAGGAAAGAGCAGTTTGCATAAAGCAATAGCTGGCAGACTTCAAGTAGATAAACGAACTTTCCTTAATGGAAGAGTCACGTACAATGGGAAAGGTCTTGAAGAGATCCAACCGCGACGTGTGGCCGCTTATATAGCCCAAACTGACAGACATCTTCCAACTCTCTCAGTTCGAGAGACAGTCGATTTCGCCTACAAATGCACAAGTTTATTTCCCCAAGAATCTGCTAAAAACAGTGAAGCTGTGAAGGTGATTTTGATTAGGTGATTCTGTTAAATGTTTTCTCCGTTCAAGCACATTTCAAATTCCCAATATCCAACTTAATCAGTTCCTATACTGTTGAAGCACATGCAATTTACTCCCTTATTGTACTGAAAACCTGCCCTCGGCAGATAGTGAAAGAGCTTGGAGGTGCAGATCTACCCTTGGAGCTAATCTTACATCTACTTGGACTGCGAGCTGTTGCGGATTCTGCTGTGGGTAGCGCGACTGTCCGCGGAGTTAGTGGTGGCGAACGGCACCGCGTAACCACGGCAGAGATGGTTGTAGGTACCTCCCTGAATCGTGATTGTTCATCCTGTCCACCGGGATGAACGTTACTCGGTAGTTTACTCAGTATGTTCATGTTGGACATGAAGCTTAAGAGTTTGGACGTATTAATATCCCCAACTAGAAAGAGATTTATAGATTTTTCTGTGCTCATACAGAGGCCTTCTTGTCAAGCAGGAACGTTTGCCGTCTTACTACTGGATGAAATTAGCACTGGACTGGACAGTTCAGCAACCTTTGACATTGTTTCTGCCCTTCGAACAATGGCGCGAGTACGGCAGATTACCTGCCTTCTATCCCTTCTTCAACCCTCACCAGAAGTATTTGACATGTTTGACAGGTACCTTCGCCAAAACTCCGCGGAGAAAAGCAGTCCAGCTTCACGTTTCTGGAACGTAACAGCATGTGGATCTAGTGCTTAGTGTATGTAACCTGTCTTATGCGTGGGATGACTTTGAATTTGATGTATGGTCCAGGGTCATCGTTCTGAATGAAGGATGCATCATTTACCAAGGACCGAAAGAAGACGTTATTCCCTACTTTGCTGAACTTGGGTAAGAAAAACAAGGAACAAATTCTACGCACTGAATAGGTGATCGAAGCCATTGCCGATGCTTTGTAAGTGGAAGGCAACATCACGCTTCTTGTCATCTGTCTATATACAGATATGCGAAACCGAAGCACGTGGATGTAGCAGATTTTCTGCAGGAGATAACCACAAGCGATGGTGTTCATTTTGTTCAACCCGGTTTTCTTCCACTGACCCATGAAGAGTTCCATGCAGCTTATTTGAGGTCAGAGATGCACGCGGACGTAGAGCGCATAGTCAACAATCCCAAGGTACTTACCGTAGACATTAAGTTCTGCACTCGATGAATTCCCGTGCTCGACTCGTTCATGCTACTAGAATGGACTGCTATCATGCATCGTTTGTGAAGCTCATGATCATCCCTCATCAATCGTAATATATTTATCTACTAGCTTGAATCGTGCACAGTTTTAACCTTGCGTATGATTCTCAGTCGTAAGTATGTTTTAAGCGGGAAAGACATGAATATTAAAAGTACGCCAAAAAATAACATAAAGTAACATCCTATCAAAATCCTGAAAGGACGAAGCCAAATGGGTAACATAGCACTCAATGTATCCCATTTATCTGGAAAATAATTATTTCGTTCGTAATTCTTGATTCAATAAGTGCTTTGTTTAGAATTATGAAAACAGGTTCTTAAAATAATTTACACATGACATGAATAATACTTCAGGAGTTAAAAAGTTCATGAACAAAGTTCATCTTTAAATTTTGGATAAAGTTGAGCCTTGCGGAACCCTCGCAAAAATAAGTTGTACTTTGAACTTTGTCATTGTTTTACTTCCATATCTTGTATGGTAAAGAGTTGAAAAGGATATTCATATATATATATGAAAAGGATATTCATTCATAAAGAGTTGAAAGGATTTACACCCCACAGAAAACCGAAAATAGTCATAACTAGTTAACGTCATTCTCTCGATTTTGAAACCCTCAATGTTTTGTATGAACTCCAGACAATTCAAGAGTTGTGGGTACAATCAGAGAAACCGTTGGGTTTGAAACTTCACGATCAATTTGGTGCGAGGCCAGGTAAGAGGACCACCTAGTTTTCTATTAATTGGTATTCCAAACTCCGTTGTTTGTTTATCAAATCGAATGATGTAGCCTTCTGGGAGGGGGTTGTAATAATTGGTCTTATGAAACCTTTCCAGGGTTGTGAAATTTATTTGATATATTGTGTAATCCTCTATGTTGATGTTCATTTTGAAAGCTGTATCTTCGTCACTGGATCAGAATCTGGAAAATTAACGACACTTTTTTACTGATATCACACAGGTGAGAAAAACGCAGTAGAGGTTTTCGAGGTAGAACCGACTGGTACCGTGGCAACTGCTGACATTCAGCAAACCTCTCGAGTAAAGGCAGGAGATGTCATAACGGGTGTTGTCGGTCCCAACGGTAAACTTGAATATGTATCAGGCTCGGCAGAAGAGTTTGTCGCTGAAGATGTAGTTCAGAAAGTGATGGACACGCAGGGAACTGTTCGTTTGCAGCTCGAGCGAGTTCTAGAGGAGGTACGGCATCTTATGACTCCAAATCTTTGTTTTTCCAGACTCATTGCTCATGAACAAAAGTGATGAACTTGTGCTGACCATATTTTTCTAAATAAAGCTTCCCTACGAAGCCGGGTTAAACTTACTTGCCCGATTTTTCCTTCTCTCTTCCTCGGCATTTTGGGAATGGCCTACCCTCTTGCACCGAGAGCTCCGTTCATGGACATCGAGAGCGAAGTCCCGTCTTTGAGACGAACCCTACATGAACTTCAGCAAAGTGGTCCACACAAAATTGAACCGAGTTCCACTCTGGCACACTGGGAAGTCGGATTAATGTCAGACAAACGTACAAATGTACTATTTATCAATACCACCGTATTGATGTTAATATGCTTTATAACTACGCGTTAGCACTGATAAAAATATAACCTTCCTAGTCATCACTTCGAATTTGAAAATATAAGGTACCCCAAGGCTCGCTCTTTGAATGCTTATCTGCCTATGATCGTAGTCAGATCTATAACTTGATCTTACACAAGAGATTTCAAATTCCGCTGCCTTAAAATAAAATCTTCAAACAAGTACTATCTTGTGTAAACTTAATTTCGTAATCCTTTTGTTTTGCACCTAATGTTAAATAAAGTGGAAATTTTTCTTTCATATCTGGAAAATAAAATACATATATATTTTTGAATGTATCGAGAAGCAACTCTATTGATATATGTTGCAATAAAAATCATTAGTCAAAGATAATTAGAAGGGATTTCAGTGAAAACATGGATGATGAATTAATATTTTGGAAAGTATAAAAAATTATTATTTTTACATATTTCATGAGAAGCATGCTCAACCTAGTGATTGTCATGTATATTTTCAATGATTCAGTAAACTGATAATTTTGTATTGCAAGCATATTCAAAACACTAAAAAAAAAAAAAAAACAAGAGAATATATAGCTATAAAATGGTAAAAGACCAAGCCCGGGGACCCAAAGGGTCAAAAGATTGAAAAACACAATACAAGCAACAACCACAAACAAGGGAAAATACCCCAAATGCCAATCCCTAGGTAGTGCCAAGAGCACTAGAACGGTAACTAATAATGTCCCTAATGTTGGGCTCTGCTATATATATATATATATATATATATATATATAGCAGAGCCCAACATGGATGGGCATGGGCACCCAATGCCCATGGATTTTGGGTGACATTATTTTTCCATGGGTGGACACAAGCAATCCTAAGGGCAATGTTTGTGAAGATCCAACCAAGAATTGGTTTGACCGGTTAAAACATTTAGCACAATTGGCGCAATTTGAATAGCATTGGCGGGCTTAGGTCGCTGCTGATAGTTATGGTCTGGTCTAGGTGCAGATTTGAAGTAGAATGTTGTCCTCTACTATATAGTAAAATATATTTAAAAGTTTCTAAAGTTTCTACTAGTTCTGTTTGAAGTGCGAAATTTACTATCTAGAATGATCAATGCAGTTTTCAAACTTTCATATAATCTTCTGAAATTTATTTTCCATTACTTTTGTGATTGCTATCTTTCTATATGAGCTAATGCATGTGTATGTAAAAAGGTGCATTATCTAAAATCTTTAATACATGTATCGTATATCAATGTATTCCACATTTCAACCTACTAGATCCATCAAACCTAATAGATTGACCGTTCCTCTTCAAAGTATGCATATTGCTATATTTATTAATTGAATCTAGATAGTCATCTTTTTCATTTTAGTGTCCAGTAGTCACCCTAAAAAAAGTAATCTTTGAGTACATCATTATGCGATGTTATTAATCAATTTCATTTACCTTTACAAATGATGTTCTTTAACAACTTCATGCAAATTATTATTATTTTATGAACCAATCTTCTCTCTTTTTCTAGTATTTTATGTTCAATTAATAAATTATAAAGTCTATATGAAAAGTATGTTTTATAGTGGAAAACTTGCGCAAGTTGTTCATCATTAGCATCATGTCCCTCAGTTACAACGTACTGACTACATGTTACACTTTGTAACATACTAGTATCTTATAATTGCATACTTCAACCTTCAAGAATGAGATACAATATACGCAGCATGCACGGCAGGAGACCATACATATGTCGCATTAGCTACAGTATTTGAGCAGGATATTCCGTTTGTTTGTGCATAATTTTATGAATTACATTACGCAGTGCATCTCACTTGGTCTCTTTCTCTATGGAACAGCAAAACAACGCTAGAACACTTTTCCAAAGTGAATATGTTCAAGACTGGAAAACATCCGCCAAAACTGTTTTCAAGAGGCAGAGCAAGTTAGCGATTCGAAATACGATTTTCGTGATTGCTCGCAACGTTCAGGTGGAGCTACGTTTGTGAATATAGCTAAAAAGATAGAAACCAGAAGTTAGTTGGCATGGGGCTCCTATGTGGAAATCAGATGCCACGATATGTAAAGGGAACAATGCAGAGAATCGTGACTATCTGCTAAAACTTTTTATGTTCGCTCCGCACTCAGATGTATTCAATTTTAGTGGATATCTGAAGTTTCAATTTGAATCTTTCTACACCGTAACATGAACAGGTGTCTTTGGTTTAACTTATATGATATCTTTCTGTACTCGAATTGTAATTTCGGAATGGGCTTGAAGAACTCATAATGTTTTGGTGAACTACAGGTGCTCATTATTGCGATCTTTACTGGGACGCTTTTCTTTAAGGTCTCAAGCTCTCATCAACAAACTGCTATGGATCTTAAGAAGTCGCTTGCATTTTTAGCATGCATGGCGCTCTCCCTGAATACTGTATCCCAAATTCCCGCACAGCTAGATGAACGACAGGTGAAATATTGGAACCTGAAATCAAATCATTGTAAATCTGCACTTACTGATTACTTTCTCGGAAGATTGCTAACATCAGGGATGCTAGTTTGAGATCCTAGTGGGACATAAACTTAGAGAAACTTAGAGAAACAGCAAGAGAGATTGAGTGTATGATGGGGAAATTGTTTAGCCCTCTCTTTTTTCTCGAGTTTTAACTGGACTTGGCTTTGTATTCTCTTTGAATTGTTTTCTGGCATCATTTTTCTTGTTCAAGAATAATGTTGCAGAATATGAACAAAGAAAAAAATGCGTCCGTTTACCTTTTTTTGAGTACAGTTCACACTTTTAGCTATTTTTGAAAAGTCCACCACTGTTAAGCAGTCTTCATCTTCAGCTTGTTGCTGTAGGTGTTTGAGAAGCAATACGCTGCAAGGTTTTTTCGCCCACAGTCTTATGTTCTTGCCGGATCTCTGAGTGGTATTCCATACACCATCTTAGAGGTATTCAAACTCTCCCCTGCATGTCAGGCTCTTTTTGTATCTATTAGCAAATATAATTGAATCTTTTGATGTTACGACCGTTTGTATTTTGTTTTGCCATTGTCTTCGAAAGCGAAGCTAGTGGATTTTTAGCTACTTAGTTCGGGAATAAACAATCTCCTCAGTTCGAAGACTCGCTATCTTCGCACTTATTCACTTTCACGAGTTTTAAGGTTTATTCAACAAGAACAACGAAAGGTCCAGGGAATAACAGAATAAATCAGAGACGGATGGAAAAAGAAACCAACTGTAGTACAGGTCAGGAAGGAATGAACTCACACGAGGAACTAATCAAATGACATGTGAGCTATGTGGTCAAATAACTTTGCTAATCTTTGGTCAGCTGAGCTACATAGTTACCCACATAGCTCACAAAGCTAAGTGAGTTCATGACTCCCTAAGTACCACACAAAGGTAAGACGAGAGCAGAATATTCATTATATGTTGACCACGCCATTCCACCGCCATTGTTTAGACTCCAGAACAGTTGACCGATGTGGAGTCATTGAAATTATACTCCCCGCTGATTCTTCAGAACTTGCTGATTGCCAAACTTGCTCCCGGAGGAGTACATGGCTCCACGATTTGACCTTTCTACATTAGATATTCTCAAGGTATCTGCATACCTTAAGAATCAGAACCGAAAGCCATTCAGGTGACGAGAATGAGATCTGATCGAAATGGCTGAGAGCATACAACTCTCAGGCATCTCAGACAATGTTTTATTAACTACTTTTTGAAAGAGTAAACTTCACAAGCAGTTTTTGATGGAATCTTACCATCCTTTTTGCTATATTAGTTGGTCCTAATATCCGTATTGAAACTTTGCATATTTAGAGGTCCAAGCTTGGCTTCTACCATTATTGTTAAGATGAAGATATTGGCATAAAGCTTGACTTTGTTGACCGGATCGTTTGTTTACGTGCAGACCATCATCTACTGTCCATTACTTTATTGGCTGACAGGACTAAGTGGAGCGCAACAGGGGAGGCATTTCATTCTATACGTTCTAATTGTGTTTGTTTCAGCTCTTGCTGGAGCGGCATTAGTGCGCTTGATTGTCTCTGTGAGTGGGACGCGTGAAGGTGCAACTGGTCTAGCAGGTCAGATTTTAGTTACTTTTTGCTCACTTCAGGGATGACAAATGTTCTTGGACTTTCTTGCAGGCGTGCGATGCAGAGAATTCGAAAATGTAACATTGAAATTTACGGATATGTAGGCTTCTGCAAACTGGAAACGAAGAGTTAGAGTGAAAGATTTTTCTGGTGCATGTATGTTGTGTCGTGATGTGTAAGGCTCGAAATTGTAATCAAGATATCAAGTCCTAAAAGTCATGTCTGAAAACTCAAGAATAAACTGAGAGCACCTTTACTAAAGACTTGTGAATCTTCACTCACAAGTCCTGAAGAACGTAATGCTTAGCTGAACCTTTTGACGACGGGTGAAAGAGGTGTTCTCCTCAAGTTTTTTGCCACAGAGGCTCTACAGGGGATTTATGGTTGGCAAATTAAACCCGATCTACAAACTTACTTTGTGCAGTTTGCAAATGAACAGTAGGGTTGCCTGTACCAATGAAATGAAGAACTGCTGTTGCTGTAAGACAGATGAAGTGCTATTCTCTAATAGGATGTATTCAACAGCATACTCGCTCATAATAATTATATTTTCTCTCATAACAAGGTATTCTGGTTTTCTTCAGGTCTCAGCATTGTCTTGTTCCTGCTGTTTGCGGGGTTCTTGATCACCGTGAACAAAGTTCCTGATTGGTGGATCTGGATGTACTACTTAAGTCCACTCCAATGGGGAGTTACGGCATTGATATGCAATGAGTTTCTCTCAGGAAAGTACGATATGGTACGTAAATTCTTGTCGTGGATTATAATCTACTGACATCTATAAACCTGCCCTTCGACTTTGCCGACATATCGCAATAAGCTATATCCGGATTCAAGTGTACTACTGTTTAACAGGTATCCTTGTACTGCATAGGATGTAAAATGGATACAAGAAATTCACTCCCTGAGTTTCATCCAGAAATATTTTGAAAGCTAAAGTATTCACAAGCTAAATCTTTACTTCGTGTAGCCTTGCAGTGCAGAACTGGATTACTGCTTGCCAAGGATGCATTTAAAAGTTGGGCAGGCATACTTGGACCTTTATGGATTTCCTACAGCTTTCTTGCGCGGTGTTTGGATTCCTGTGATTATTCTTGCCGGTTACTATGTCTTCTTCACCTGTCTGACATTCGTCACCGTCTCAATGTTGCGCTTCGAAGAGGTAGATTCCACGACTGTTTCAAGCATCTAGAAAACATTTTGAAAGTAGTTCTCGTGGGAGCTTGTGACTACGTAGACCTGTGAATGCACTTTTGTAATAAAGACTTTCGCCTTGCGAAAGTCTTTCTTACAATACTCACTGATGATCGATATAACTGAGGACTAGTTTTGGGACTGTACTTACCGTACGGGCTGAATGTCATCAAAAATGCCTCCAGACAAGGATTGTGTCTAGATACAAAGTTTAGAGACAGACCAGCGTACACCTGTATTGTGTTTGACCACTCGAGAGTGCCCATAGGACTGCAGCTTTGCCGTGTTGCCCGAGTGTTGGATGTTCATTCTATTACTCAAATGACACAGGTTAAGCTCCCGTCTGCTGCTAGACTGCGTGCTGCCAAGATGAAGGCCTTGAGATTAGCTGCATTGCAAAAGGACCCTCAGGCACCGCCTAGTGATCCCCAGATGCATCTTAAGAGTGGAGCTGCAAAAGAGGCTATTACTATGGACTCTGCCGTTAAATTTGTGCCGATGATACTGTCATTTCACAAGATAACGTATGAGGTGAAAATCTAATTCTGGAAAGGAGCTAGTACAGTTATGCGTTTCATTTGCGGACTACTGATTGATTATCTGCTTGAAATTCCATGCTCTGACAGCTGGGAAGAATTGACAACAGACCGTTCAAATGGACATCACCGTTCCAATGATGCCAAATTTTATATCAACCCCAGGCTGCCTTCTCAAGGGCTTTCTTGTTGATACATGAAAAATGAATGAATTCTGCTAAATATGTGCTCAACGAAGATGTTATTTTACACAAATCTTGTTGCTGGAAGGAGTCCCAGAGAATTTAATGTTTCATGACATTTTATGACATAATTCAGCCTTGATGTGTACGTCCAGGTAAACGTGCCGGGAGCACGAGATCCCAGACTTCTACTTGCCGGTGTTTCTGGTTATGCCAGGCCGGGCACGTTGACAGCATTGATGGGCAGCAGTGGTGCAGGAAAGACAACACTTCTTGATGTTCTAGCTGGTCGCAAGACCATGGGACGGATCACGGGTGAAATACTACTGAATGGTTACCCCAAAGTACCAGATACCTTTGCCCGCATAGCAGGGTAGGTTAAAATGCAGCGTTCTTTGTTTCATGTACTTTTTAACATCATAGTTCAATGAAGCTTCTGCCACAAATTTTTCAACCCACATCTTATTTGAAATTTCGAGTACAGGTATGTTGAACAGAATGATATACACACACCGTTTATATCCGTGAGGGAGTCCCTGGTATTCAGCGCCTCTCTGAGATTGCCCTCCACTGCTAACCGACTTCAATTCGTGAAAGAGGTAAACTAACAAACTTCGTAACATTATTGGACAAGGGGACAGAAAATTAACCATCCACACCAAACGCTATCAACTATCTGTTAGCCACAATATTTGCTGCAATTAGCCTTGAATCTCCTAACCTGTCTCGTAGATGTCTCTCCCAGTGTAAGAGCCGATCATTTAGTCATGTAACATGTTAATAAGGGCGAGTAGTGAGACTGCGTACCTTAAAGTCCTCAAAATGGCCCTACTGACACAGGTGATGGACGTTCTTGAGCTTGGAGAAATATCTGATAAGCTTGTAGGTGTTATTGGAGACAGTGGACTTTCAGTGGAGGAAGCCAAACGCCTCACTATAGGGGTAGAGCTTGTAAGTTTTCGGATATGTAACTAGGCACAGAAGAGCCTAATTGTCTTTACATTTGCTTTGCAGACGAATACTATAGTCTTTCAACACAGCGTTAGTGCTGCTATTATAGACAGTTAAATTTCGTCCGAAAAAGCTAAAATACTGAGCCCCTGCTGACCATAAGGGAAAACCGTCTTTTCTCGGTAACCATCTAGTCTTTTAACAGTATTCAGCAGGACAGTTATTGCTTGATCGAATTCATGTTACACTGGCGCCTTTCGATACTCACGTCTAAGATTCATGTGCAAAGCACAACTTCGCTGCTTCGAGTGTTCTAACAAGCTGTGTCAATAAGAAAGTTTCGCTTTGCCGGTATTGTGAACCAGGTTTCGAATCCAAGTATTTTATTTCTCGATGAGCCCACAAGTGGTCTAGACAGTAGAGCAGCGCAAATCGTGATGCGCAGCATTACAAGCATTGTAAAGACAGGGCGAACAGTAATCTGCACCATTCATCAACCGAGCCGCCGTTTGTTTCTGGCCTTCGACCATCTTCTCCTTTTGAAGCGTGGGGGACGTACTGTATACTTCGGGCCCATAGGAAAAGATGCAGAAGACCTTTTGGTAAATTCTTCCTACTACTTGGATTAGCTATCTGTGATATTCTTGGCTGCACATGTTCTCGAATGTACACGAGTGACTAGTCAACAAAGTCATGGCCCTCACATGAAATTTGTACCTGATGACATCTGTTGTGAGGGGCTGGAAACCAGGCCTATTTCCAGTCTCTCCCAGGAGTGCACGAATGCGGAGAAAACCAGAACCCAGCATCGTATATGCTAGAAATCATTGGAGCAGGCATTGGACACTCTGCCAATCGAGACTTTGCCATAGATTACTCTATGTCCTCTCTCAACCAGGTCAATGGTGAGACAAACCAACCTTCATGCTCAGATGAACTTTGCAAATCATGTACTGTACCTAGTTAATGTCTGGACTCCTTGCGCAATTAGTCTAAAACCAGTCACGAGGGGATTCAACCGTTGACATCTTTTGTTTCTCTAACCTTTGGGCACATAAAAACTTTGAAAGGGAAGGAGAGAAGGTTCACCGCGGTAGAGGACAGCCCGAATGAAGTAGCAGACCTCGCTGAGACCACTGACTGGACTTTATTGCTTTCTGTACAGCCTTCTCACGAGGCGAAAATATTGTGAATAGATAGCCATCATCCAGTCGGTAGGTTAAGCGCCTTCTATCATGTTAGGTGTCCCGTTTTGCCATGCGTTAATACCATGGATGGTAGCATGCACTCTTTGCTGTCAGCAAGAGGCACCAAAGAATGCATCCATCAAAAAACCAGTCGCTATTCCTCGCAAGGCTGAGGAAACTTCTCAGCAGAAGGATCCGGTTGACATCGCCTCATGATCATGAGATCGATGCTCTGTCATTCTGAATCAAATTCCCTGGGCCGGGTTGGTGGCTGCGTACCTGGAGAACAGTGGAGCTGCTGGAAACCTACAGATTCGGTAAAGGCAATCTGGGGCCCGAGCCCAGCGTCAAGGGCTACGCCGCGACATTTTGGCTCATGTTTGTAACTGTAACTACACGCCAGTTCAAGACCTACTGGCGTAACATCGCGTACAGGTTCGTTCTGCTCCCTTTTGCACAACTGTCACTTCACCGACCTGCGAAAGCACCACACATTGTCGTTTCGTCTCGTTAGCAGCAGCAGCCGCAGAACGAACTCATTGCTAACTTTGTTGTGTAGTTAGTGTTCTCCTGAACATCAAATTGGCCTGTTTAGTCGAACATGTTCAAGGGCTGCTGCTGAGCTTAGAGAAGGAACAGAGTTGTTTGTTGGAGGTCTGCCTGCAAGGCCCCCAAACTCTTGATGGTTTCTCACTTTTCTGAATCGATTTTTTCAAGTTGTACCAACATGACCTGACAATCTTTTAACTTGCTTCACAGTTTTGGAAGAATGATGTTGTCTGTTATCCTCGCACTACTGCTAGGAAGTGCGTTTTGGCAGGTGCTGTTCAGAATCATCCTTTGGTAGTTATTAAGGTCAGTCGTGATACATACTGAAGAATGTGTTGTAATCATGGAGACGTCTGGGTCATGCTTAGACTATCTCTTCCTTTAGAGAGAACTGCATAATGCGTACCCTACGACTTCTTCCATAGACTCGAATCCTGTACATTTCCGTGATCTTCATCTCGTAGATCCGAGTTAAATGAACAAGAAACGAAGGGAAAGAATTTCTCGTATACACCTTTTGCAGCCCTTCGCCCTCCGTAGTTAGTAAGTTACATTCTACAACGTTAATATGACTTATGTATCAGCTCAAAACCATGACAATCTCGTTGTTGTGAACGGACCAGATCAAGTACGACACAACTCCTGGGATGATCTCCAGGCTGGGTCTTATCTATTTATCCATAGTGTTCGTTGCCATCACAAATGCTAACAACGTCATTCCCCAGGTTTGTAGCCCCAGAACTTCTCCGTAGTGAAATCTGAAAGTCTTTTGCATGCCTTGCTTTGTAGTATGGCTATCAGACAACCACCACTAGTCTTATAAGACCCAGGTTGCTTTGAGAAATAGCCAGCTCTGACAGTAACTGAGCTTCCTCGTATTTAATTCTAGTAGAAAGAAAGCATTCTTCAAAAAAAAAACTAAGAGAGCCGAGGGTGCTCGTACTTGTAGGTAAATGCGGAGCGGCCCGTGTATTACAGAGAACGGGCATCTAATATGTACTCTCTACTGTTATATAACTTCTCTTGGACTCTGGCTGAGGTACCTTCTTGCTTTAAACTGAAGTTAAATATTGCCACATAACGCTAAAATTCAGCCCAGAGATGTGTCCCCTTGAAATCACGTGGTGCATCTTCTTATTCTTACATCGAACAAATCCGACCGTCCCATACACAAATGATGACCTGTAGCATACGGCAAATTGTGGCAGATACCATATCTGTGTATATCAACTCTCATATTCTGTGCTATTTGCTTCTCGATGGCCGGAGTAGCGACCACATCAGCAAAAGTTTTTTTCGAATACTGGTTCATCTTCTTTGAGTATGCCGCGAGCATTACATTTTTCGGCATATTTGTGGCTATGCTCACACCAAATGCCGAGGTACATCTGAGTCAATTCACTCCTAGCCACAGTTTCACCTCAACCATTGTCTCTGAGCCAATATATTGCAACAAGAATAATCTGCTCAAAATTTGATGATATTACGGCCATGTCGTTCATGTGTCTGGTGGTAGTATTCTTTCCAGACGGTAACTCGCTCTGTTGATTGCCATGATTCCAGACTGCGACTATTATTATTCCCATCATCATCAATTTCTGGTGAGTTGCTGCATCCAAATAAAATGACCGATGCAGACTTCTCACTAATATGTGCACACTCTCCTGACTGATCATTCTCATACACGTTTTCAAAGTATAGCACTTTGAGAAAGTTCCTGTGATTTAGCCATTGCGGTTCTTAACATGTGCGTTTGTAACATGCAGGAACATGACTTCCGGCTTCATGATCCCGAAAAGCGAAATTCCCAATTTTTGGATATGGCTGTACTGGATAAATCCCACCATGTACGCACTCAACTCCTTGAACTCCATCGCTTTCTACTGCGATACATCCAGCCCTCCGTGCAATTCCTGCACGACTGATCCGACCAGCTGCCCAAATTGTGACTGTGTGCGTGTAACCGACCAACACAATCTTCTGGCGTGGACACTACTATCTGTTGGTAGGTCCTTAAATTACTCTTATCGCACGAGGGATAAATGGGTTCTCTTCGCCTTCGTTATAGGATTTTGTATCTTGGGCGTGTTCGCTTTGAAATTTATGCGCTTTGATAGAAGGTGATCAGGATCAAGACCTTGGCGCCATTCAAATAAAAGCTGCAACTTCTACGCAGACCTCTGATATAATCATAAGTCCATACTCCGCAATGCAGTACTTCCAGGTTCAAAAAGAATTCTATATATATAAGAGTACACTCCCACACAAATGGGATGATGAACCTTTGTTCAAAGCCACCTACCTATACCTCAACTTTCGCGGACAGTCAAGCTCCACAAAAGAAAGCGTCTCGTGAGAGTCCAGGCATGAACAGCCGCAAGACATCCACGCAAGACAACGACTACTTCGCTGTATTCACATCAACCGAGGTCAAAATTGCCTGCCGTGGGCCGAAGTCCTGAACCTAAACAGACTTGACCACCCTAAATCTATCAACGCTCAAATGAACACATACGCATGCGTATCGAGAATTCGTGTTGGCTAAAATCCGTCCAATTTCAATGGTTGTTCAGGAATAGCCTGATATATTGGAAGAGCTACAGAGTCAACAGATTTCAGATATAGTGCCTGGATGCCACCCCACTTCCTCGGTGTATGTGCAGCGACTCCCTCAATGATCGCCTTCAAGTTGGACATAATTTCGTCCTTAGACTGAGAAACCCTAGCTGCTTTAACTACGCTACACGAGCCTCTCCCTAATTCGAACTCCGAAGAATTGCAAGCGGCGGTAATTTGCCCCTTCCACTCCTTCCTCGTTAATTTCACTGAGAGAGGCCATTTCTTTTTCTTCCAGAATATCTTCCCGAGATACTTGGGCATTTTTGCAAAAATTCGATCATCGCAGAGAAACAGATCGTACGAGCCACAAAGCTTCCTCCTGCCCTCGTGAGTGTTATAGTTTTTCGACAGCTTCTCGGCGTCGATCACCTTCGTCACATTGGACAGACCTTCAGCAAGGAGCTTTGCTTTCACCTCTGTCTTCGATAATCCCCCAAGACGACCATCTTTGACGAACAGACAGATCTCCTGTGCGCCATCTAAAGGATGAAGGGAATGTGGAAGAGGAATCCTGTGACGAGTAATATTGGCCTGGTCCGGAACTTTATCCAGAGTCACCACCACGTACAGGAGCTGGTCGTCCTCCAACAACCGAGCCTTGTCGCGCCCATTCTGCGATTTGACCCATGTCAACAGCGAATCCACAGCCTTTCCGACCTGTTTCTCGTCCACAAACTTCATATCGCTCCCTCACTCGCCTCGCCTTCTGTCCGGAACCGAACAGATCTCTCAAAATTACGAGCACAGACTACGATCCTGCTCGACAGCCCAAAACCACATTGACAGCCTCTTCCGTGCTGGCTTCTCGTTCTTCCCGTTTCCTCTGATTACTCTACGCTTCCTCCTTTCCCCCTCGCCCCGGCACTGCTGCACGTACCTGGAGTGCTGGGCGGCCGGCGAGGGGCCACGCCCTTAATAACATTAGGGTTCGTGCTTAGGGCAGACGTGGCTACGCTTTGGCAGAGAGAAGGCGAAACTATATTTGATGCTAGTACACTTGATACAGTGTTGATACAGAACAATATTTAGCGTTGAATACAGTTTTGTAAAGCCTCAAAACTGTACTCGATGCTAAATATTTTTCTCCTCTACTGTATCGCGTGTGCTGGCGAAATCTCCCATTTTTCCATTGGATGGTTTTCCAGGAACATTTAATATACTCTAGGTACTTACAGAGGACATCGGATATTTTACGAACGGTTGGACTTGTTTACCGTTTTGATATCATTGTGGCTAGCTTATCTTGCACCTTCGGTCTCATCCATTGAGTACCGGGGCCTTTCCATCTTTTCCAATACGTATTTCATCTTTCCTCGTGCTTCTAATGCTTACCAGAAATGCCACAGTGACGCAGTCAACCACCGATGGTCAATGCGACATAATGTATTACACCATTTGATAATTTGATGCCAAAAACATGTATTCCTACCTCTGACCGGAGCATGCCATATGCTATGGTCGAGAGGCGAAACGTTTTTATATTTGATGTTTGTTTGTCAGAAAGTTATGAACTAGATTCATAACTACCATGTGCATCAAAATTAACAAATTCTATCAAATTGAGAAATTGAGGTTAAGACCGAGAGCAATGGTGAGTAGATGACAACCTCCCTAGTTTTTTTGTACTCTATTTTCTAAGCTAATTCTAGGTTTATTTTCTTGAGATATTTGCTCGATAGAACCCATCAAGTTTTGTTTTACCCGATAGAACTCCAACTATGGTACACCATCGCCAAGTTCTAATATGTGTTACTGCAAACATATGATGGAATTTTTTATGGAGCTCTGTTATCGCAAATCGTTACTACCTCTCAAATTGTTAGTACAAGTCTTGACATGAATGGCAAATGAAACAGTAGGAAGAAATACTCGAAGGAGACCGAGACTAGTTCCTTTGATCTTCTTGCTTCCATTGTCCCATATCAGTCAATCTACTAGAATCTGGATGTCTCTCAGCACAGCCCCCATTGACGTGTTACAAAAAGTCAGTCAATTTTTTATCATCAACATCCAATTTCATGCGCGATTGGAAACTGTCATGTGATTCAGTAGAACATGCTACTCACTTGCTCCTTGTGCATGCATGGATGGATTTCTCTCAGTGCATTAACGGTTGCAATCGAAGACATCAGGTTCCTCCATCCCCAAGATTCTTACACATTCTCAGCCCAGTTTGAGAATTTTGATCGACGGAGTTTCACTGCCTGTACCGTTTGTTGATACTATACATGACGTGGCCCGTCAACGGAATCTCATCGGGTAAAATGAAACGTAAAGTGTACTAGCAATTTATGTTTTACATGGATCCCATCAAGTAAAGAACTCTTCTTTTCTTCCACCTTGATAATGAATTCTGATTGAAATCATGTATATCTCTTGTATTCCATACGTAAGCTTTGATGTGAAGTGTGAATATAGTTGGCTTGATTTGTGTGTGTGACGGCTAGTTTCTCCATGTGATATGATATCATGTTTGTTTTACATCTTGCTTTACTTCAATTTTAATGCTTTATCTCGCCCATACTTCAATTTTTAATTTCTACATCTTATCTATTAACATACTACTTGTGAAACTAATCCCTCGCCTTTATCTTTTTCTGTTTGTCTACCCTGCTTTGATTCATAATGAGCTAAGAATCCAGTCCAAAACAAGCATGAATGAATTAAAATGATAGATAGTAAATCACACTTTTGTCATGAAACACAAACTTAAAAAAAAAAACCATTATTTTAAATAAAGTGAATATAATTAAGATCATTTTTGCACATAATGAAAATCATATGCCAAAATATACTTGATACATACATTTGCAGAAATTCAACCATGGATTTGATTTGCTTTTATCATTAACTTTTCTTGTTTAGGGTAAAATGTATGAATATTTGGTTGCAGATGAGATATTTATAAATCTTGTTAGGCCAAAATTTGAACTCACACTCCACAAAATCAACTTGGAAAATTGAACACACATGCTAAGTCTTTGATACATATAAATGGTTCACCTTTGCAAACTACAATGATAAAAATACCTCATGCTTTATTAAATAAAATCAAAATATTATCACTCATAGTTTCTTTGAGTACAATATACCCATGCTAACAAACTAGAATGAAGCAACAATGAATTAGTTCAAGAATTCAATGAACTCATAACATACATTTTAAACAAAATTGTATTCATTTACATCTATCAAAGATTTATATGTTTAAAGTTTTGATTTGTCAAAGGTGCATTAGTAAGATTTCTAGTTGATTTTCAAGTTGAAACTAATTATTTACATCATTTTTATTGAATCAAATACACCAATTTTTAAAATTTTGAATTCAAATGTGTTTTCTAAGTATTTTGTCTAATTCAAATTTATTGTGATAAGTTATCAAGGTTGAAAAATAAGATGATACTAGTTGATTGATGAATTATTTTGGCTATATTACATGCTTTTACAGTCTTCATGCATGAATACACGATGTAATTTCGAATGTGAAAGAGTTGCAACTTGTATGATACTTCACCAACACGTTTTACCAAAAAAATCAATAAATTTAGCTTTACATTTTTATGTTACTACAATACATGAATTTGTTATAAAGATCAATTATTTACAGTTATAAACATTTGCATGTTGTCATTATGATTTTTAAGCTATCATCAACTTCTTATTGGTTTGATCAGTCTATGAATATGCACCTCATGCAAAATTATGCAAGGTGATTATCGACAAACGGTTGATGATTGATGATGTAAATCTTGTAAACTTAGTTTTGTGCATGCTGATCCATCATGATGAAGTAAAATCATGATCAACTCATTAAATTAAACTTGATGTTCTTTCATAAATTTTGAACAAATACATCATTTGACTGTGTCACATGTTTGATTGTCATCATCCAAGGCTAGATTATTTGTCCAATTTTTTTTATATGTTATCATGTTTTCAAAGTAATTATGTAAAGTGAATTGATGGGAACCATCCGGCCGACAAGACAAATTCATGTCTTGGACCTAAAGTTATCGAAATTGCTTGAGATAAATTCATCTTGAGCTCAAAAATCCACAAAATGCGATGAATGTGCATAGATTTTTCTACTCCTTGTTAAATTTCATTTGTTTATTAAAAGCAATTAATGAACAATTCATGTCATTTTTAATGTTAGTTGAATTTTTTTGATCTACTCCTTAATTTCTTGTAAAAGTAGTGACGATTATTGACTATGGATATTTTGATCTAAATCTACTATCATTTAGAAAGCATCATCAAACCTGACAAAAATGTGAAATAAGCATTGCAAACAAGTAAAGATGTAAATACCTGTGTAAAAACACCAGCAGATTGTTGTAGTCAAATTTCACAAAAGTATATAAAAAAGCATACTTCTGTTGCGCATGTATTATGAATGCACATAAAATATACTCTAAAATTTTATTCACTATCATTTTGAAGATGAGAGTTAGTTGACATTGTTACTTTTATAAAAAAAAGTTTAACCAACTAGTAAAATGATTAAAAATTAATTTAAACCATAATTTATAAAAATTGCATTTTAAAACATCTGAGCAAATTGTAGAATTGTCACTTTTTTGTTGTTTGATGATTGGTGTGATATGAATCATCTTGCTCAATATGTTCACAAGAACAACAACCAAATCATTTTTTAACAATTTTTTTTTCTCATACACCAAGCAAAAGATCAAATAATTCAGAAAATCAAGAGTATTACAAACAAGTGAAGAATAATATGATCATTCTTTAAAAAAAAACTGTATTTTCAAATCTTAGAAGAACGTTATGACTAACATAAGACAGAAGAAAGTTGAATATGAGATAATCAAATACAATGAATATGATGACTATTTGCTCTTAGAAAGACAAATTCAAGATCATGCTAGACTATATGCTACGTTCAAAATTGTCCATCTACAACGATTGGAATAAATAAATCATAGACTATGAGTATTCTTAAATTAAATCTACAACCTTACTTTTGAAGCAAGTGGATAAGTATGACAGTTATATTTTGATATGTAATGCTTTTGAACAAAAGTTTCATTGCAAAAAGTTATCAAACATGATGTATGACTCTTTGAAATCAATGAATTTCAAGATTACAGATTTTGACCCATAATCAAAAAACATATTGTTAAGTTTGATGATTTTAGAAATCTTGAAGAATAAATAAATTACAATAAAAAGTTTGTTATCTATTGAGATTATTAGCTTGAGCTTTATATTCATCATTTTCATGTGTGTTGCTTCGTTGTCATAGGCAGACAATCATTTAACAAAAAGTTGTAAGTGTATTGAATGCATGAATGATGATGTTTTTACATCTTTTTATACGATTATGAATGTGAGTTGAGGTTGATCATATTGACAAAGTGATAAAAATGATATGTAATTTGTATACATGAAAGAGTCCAAATATAAATCTACTCTTTTTTTTTTAAAATACAAGAATTTACTGAAGATGTGGGTAGAGTGATAGTGTCAAGAAGAACCATTGTGTAAAGAATATAAGTTTTCATTCTTTTTTAACGATATAGTTCAAGAGTTTGGTACTTATGATAACAATTTAATTAATGATGATCTATAATGTCATAAAAATGTCATATGCAACACATAAAAATATATTGATGAAGTATGAATTTTAAACGGTGCTTGATCTTATCATATTTGTTACATAATTGATTTTCTTTGTATTTTCTAAATATCAACTAATTCAATTTATATGTAACATGATCAGTCTTGTAGTTTTGAAAATATTGAATCTATTCGGATCCATATGTTTTATGTAATATGGATCCGAGTAAGTATATTGACTCAAATCATATTTCTACTTTATATGAAAAATATATATCACTTTCATAATAT